AAAGGGGGGGGGGGGGGGGGGGGGGGGGGCTAGGTAAAATTTTAGGGGAAAATATGCTGGGGTGTCCAGAAGTGTGATTGGTCGGGCGTCGCTCAAAATTTTACGAAATAGTTCCAGGTGGGTGAAGCCCCCAAAAAATGAACAATTTAGGGGTTTCAGAGGCTTATTTAATAGATATTATAGATAATCTACTATCATATAGAAAAAACAAATGCCCCATGCCCCTCCGTAGAGCCGGCTACTAACTCCTGTCTCTTATACACATCTAGATGTGTAAGAACAAAAACAATAACTTTCCGCTAATGCGGGAAAAGCCAGTGATAATGGTATGATAATGATTAATACTATAGAGTAATAATGACAATACAGAGTTTAGCTAAGAATGTTTACATTTTCAAAAGAATTAATTATTTAAATATGAGCCAATAGAAATAATATCATGATAGAGAAATAAAACAAATTAATGAAATATGACACAAAACTCACCGAATAAAGCTCCTATTGCAAGACCAGCATCTCCGTTTTTTGACTCCGAGATTGCTGCCACCAAACTGAATATATCAGGGGCGCCATTTCCAAAGGCAAGGAAGGTAACGCCCTATATTGTAGCCAATCGGATTAAAGAAAATAATAGTGTAACTATAACAGGATATGGTACTTTATTGATACATCAAACATCTTGATAAAACAACATTAAAGAAAGGCAGGTTACAACTTGCAGGAAACACTAAATTCCAGAGACTTCCCTCTCCATTAAAACATCTTGTATAAATTTGAGGAGTGGCAGCAAAATGAATAGCAGCAAAATAAGGGGGGGGGGGCGGTGGGGCTAGGTAAAATTTTAGGGGAAAATATGCTGGGGTGTCCAGAAGTGTGATTGGTCGGGCGTCGCTCAAAATTTTACGAAATAGTTCCAGGTGGGTGAAGCCCCCAAAAAATGAACAATTTAGGGGTTTCAGAGGCTTATTTAATAGATATTATAGATAATCTACTATCATATAGAAAAAACAAATGCCCCATGCCCCTCCGTAGAGCCGGCTACTAACTCAGCCAAATAGTAAATTAACATTCACAGATAGATTCTTCTTTTGGTGTCTGTTATTCTGACAATGTGAGGCGCTATATAAATCCAGAATTATTATTTACTATTATTAAGTTGTAAGGACTTCTCAAATAAATATGAATAAGTTAAATATTATATATAAAAATATGATAAAAATACAAGTGAAGCCACCCTGAAGTGAATAGTGCTAAATTATGCAATCATTATAAAAAGGATACAGCTACATTTTGACTAAGTCCAAGAGTACGTGAGATAACATTCAGTGACGGACAAAAGCTGAAAAAATATACAGAATTATTATTTACTAGACAAAGCTTAGTGACTATCTATCAGTAGTGGTGACGGGTGGAAGGATGTGACGTTGAGGGAGGACAGTGTTACGTCTAAAAAAATTTGATAACTAGGCAATACTGTACATAAAAAATGAATTCAAATTATAAGTAATTAAAATACATTAATACTGAGATTTGTGAAGTACATATTTTTGGTTTGTTTAGGTCTTCAGAATTTCTCTACTGTACAACCTATATAAAGGGAGGAACCAAAGACCTCCAATGGACAGGCCAAGCACTCCTATTGACCAATCTCATCAGACCCGAAAAAAAAATTTTGGGAATAATAAGTTGGGACAATCTAGGGACACTACTTCTTCCAAGCTGAATCTCATTTCTCTTTAACTACATCAGTCTTTTACTAACGTTTTCAGTTTCATGTAGGTCAAAGAAATTACTCACAAATCTTCAGCAGTAGCACCAAGCGATATAAACAGGAAGAATAGCCAGCATAACTAATAGAGAAAAAAATTAATAACTATATTTTAATGAAATACTGTTTGAAGGTTTATATACAGTATGCGGTACACCATGTAGATAGTTCTGAAAAAGAACGGTTATATTGTTGAGAGACACAACAAACTTTTCAGATATATTTACGTGGTGTACTGCAAACATTTATTATTATATTTTAAGGACACACCCCTGGTAGGCGCACCCCCAACAAAAGCTTATGCCCAGCATCAAGCCCCATCAGTAACCACCAATGTAATTACTTGATGCCCTGCATACTGAAGCCTCAATTAGCAGCAGAATGAGTTTGAAAACAATTATGAGTTTGAAAACAATCCCATAATTTTTTTATGGAACTGAATGATTATTATAACAACATTTAAGGGATTTGGGAATTTGCTTGATTGCTCTCTCTGTGGTTTATTTTATCTGTACTTTTTATTAGGCCCTTTTAATCTTTTTGTAATTATATTATGTTTTCTTATACCGTACTGCATTTTAATGTTTATAATATTTTTTTAAAATTATGTATATAGAATTGCGATATTGTATTTTTGTTGTCATGAGGAGAGCCCCTCGACAGTAGATCTTCTACTTTTGGGCAATCCTGCCACATGACAACAATTACTATTTTTGAAATTTTATATTTGTATATTTTATATATTTATATCTATTTGGCGAAATAAATGAAATGAAATGAAATTCACTTTAAAAGTTGCTAAATGTTAATAATGTCATTCATTCTGTAGATCTATAATATATATCATCAAAAAAGGGTGATTTGATGATTTTTTATACATAATTTAACAGTTTAACAGCTATCTTGATTTATATAAAATGCAATTATTTGTTTCCAGTCACACCTAATGTGTAATAGAGTGTACAGTATCTGGCAGTTATTTGAATCTGTTCAACCATTAAGCCTCTGTGGTCTTATGGTTATAGACTACTACAGTGTTACGTCACGATACCACGAGATACTACTCCGTTGCTATCTTTGCAAAATGCGTTCAACCGGACGCCATTTTCTCCACTGACAAACATTGATCCCAATTTCTAACGTAATTATTAAGATGTTGTATCTTACTTTTTCTTTGTAAATTTTAATTGATGATTAAGTGTGTGTTCGATAACTAATATAATGCGAGCTTTTGTGTTTTTAGTACATTTTGATGGTAAAATATTTTAAAATGCCTATTCCAGAAAGCCCATAAAGTCATTCAGGCATAATGAACGGTAACCAACGTCTGTTGTGGCATCGTGACGACACGACTGTGGTACTCTATGAGGCTGTATTTATAGGACAACATTCACTGAGAGCTATGCTACACGATGTATTATCATGTCCTTTATTCGAACACTGCATTCACCTTTCTTTGATGATTTATATATAATTTAACAAGTATTAATGGCTATTTTAAACCTATCAAGGGTCTTGAATTATGACTGAACATCAAGTGACATGCTTCCCCAGGTGGAAACAGGAAGAAAAACCTCTCATTAAAAGTCTATCTGTATATAGGATCTGTGGTCTATTACTTGGTCATAAAAAAACTCATACAATCAAAACGACTCTATCCAACAAAGATAAATCTTCATTGGGTTTCAATATGATAACATTAAATGTATCCCTCAAGTTTCCCTAATTTGTGACTGCTGAAAAAATAGAGTTTGCAATTAATTGAGCGTGAAATATAACTTAAGAATTTTCAAGCAACTCTTTTTCTCTCATTTTTAAGTTGATAATAGGAGAAGCCACTGTTTCATTTTTCATTTTGTTCTTCATTATTAGAAGTAAAAGTACCATCTAGAACATCAACTGAACCAAGTAAAGTTGGGCATCTATTTTTTCCTGGTTTAAAAACTCGCCTACAGTAATATTCCGTATAGAAATTAAAAGGAAAAAATATTCAACATTAACAGGCCTGCGAACAGGGTGGGTTTCTTACTGACCTGCTTTTCTTTTTAGCAAACCCCCTCTGATTAACCAAATAACCCCTCCCCTTACATCAATAGCCTTCAATAATTATTATAAGTAATCGTACATGGATTCTTCATCTACAGAGGGGTTCACTTTCTGATTCCTTACCTGGACCTCACCAGGTCAACTTGGCACCCCTGGCTCTCATAGAAACCCCCACCCTATTAAATTCTGGTTTTACGGGTCGAATAAACACTTCATATAATGTTTGGCATTTACAAAGATAGCATGCTAACTATATTTCTGAGAATTGAAATTTTAAAAACTTATCAACTTAATTCTAGCATCATTTAAAGCCAGGCTATGGAGGAAATATTTTTTTGTTGTTGATATGTTGATATTTTTCTAAGACACAAAAATCATATTTGACAAAAAAACTCTGGAACTGTTAATGAGATACTGTACTGATACAGATTTTTGAATATTTAAAAACTGGAGGAAATGGTGGAAAAAAGAGTGGTTATGCCCCTTTTCCCCCATTTTTTAAATATTCAAAAATCTGTATCTCATTAACTGTTCCCAAGTTTTTTGTCAAATATACTTTTTGTGTCTTAGAAAACTCAGTTGTAAAAATATATCAAAATTTGTTTTTCACTGGAGCCTGGTTTTAATCTTGATAATTTTTTTAAAGACTGTGAACCAAATGATTTAGATGTTGAATTATTATCCAATACATTAATTTTATTTTATACTTTAGAATATGGACCTTAATTGCATATAAAAGTATTTCATAAAACGGAATTTATTAAACATATTTATCACTGAGCTAAACATTAAATGGTGAAATTGATAACATTTTTTACACTAAACCTTTTAGAAAGTTGATAAGTTACTTACCAAGAACAATAATATTGGAATAACATATTTTTGAGTTGGTGCCGCACAGTAGACAAACCTGATGTAGTTGATAAATCCATCATCTGTCTGGCAGTCAGGAAGATGTTTGATGTAATTGCAACGCTCAGTAAAATTTACATCGTGAAAGGTTTTGCACTTTTAGAAAATGGCAGAAACCGAGAGAAACAATAGAATGGTTTATTTCAAAAATAATTAAGAAGACTTTATTCGATGTTTTACAGTATGTGGAAGGGGTGCGGGACATACTGATTGTAAAAACAAATTAAAATAATAATTAATGATGAACATTTATTTTTTTCTTTAGCATTCATTAGAATTAAAAATGATTTAATCTTTTTTTTAAATTTGGTTACAAAATCATAAAAATCACATAGGACCTACAAAGTGTCATGACACTTTAAGAGCTCTGCATGCAAATTAATGAAGTAATGAATGAAGTAATTAATGAAAATCAAACTACCAGTAATGATTGAAGGCTTAGGTAATCAACCAATCAAAACACACTTATCAATGGAATATTTGTGCATAAGTAATATAAAGAGAATAAAAATAAAATTAGGTCCTACTTTAATACCCTATAAAACTAAATGCTCAAATAAGAGCTGCAGTGATTATACATCAATTTTTTATTCGAAAGCGGAGCTTATAACAAAAATACCGTATTGGCATGGTGCTTTCCATGCCCGTTTACCGTAGTTCAGTAGGCCTATCATGGTCCTACATTATCATAAATAAACATTTATAAAGAAATGCTTGTGTCTTCATTGTGTTATTTATTTGAGAGCGGCGCTTAGCGAAAAAAATCAGGTTTGGTGCGGCGCTTATTCAAGCATTTACGGTAATGCAAATTGTTAAGTACTGTAATGAGGATATATATACAAAAAAACAAAACAAAACAGGAAACCCAACACCTGGAGGTCTGGCTGAGTAAGTGCAAAGTCTGGTGACTTAACATTATTTTTATTTATGAATGATAAAATTTAATTAAATAAGCCTAGCTAGGCCTCAATAGCATAGAACAGACAGTATTGGTACTGTAGGCCTAGCTTATAAACTGGTATCATGCTTACTTTTATTTCTTCATTTCTTAATGAATCGTTGTATGAGAGCAAACTTCTCCATGCAAAATTCGTTGAATATCCATTTGCCAAAACAATACGATTCCTCTCAGGTGAAAAAGTTCTTGCTAAAGAAATTATTCCTAACGTTGTGGCAAAAAATGACACGGCAGTGAAGCTTTTAATCGCCGTTTTCTTCGACATTCCAACACTTTTTTTTAACCTTGAAACGTATCAAATTGCTGTTTCAAATAACAAAAAAACTCAATTTATCTTACCTAGGCCTAGCCTAGGATTAGAAAGAGGTTGTTACTCTATACTGTACTGCACACACTGACGACTGACTGACGGAATAGTCATGTGGTCTGTGGTAGATGGGTGGTCACGTTACATACAGTACAGGTTGTACCACCAAGCACTCTATCTGAAAGGCTAACTGGTGACTGGTAACAGTGATGTGATGTGGGGGAAATTTTGATTTCCAAAACCACAACCACAATATGCCACACCACCTCCGCCTATCATCAGGCATGTCAAAGGTAAAGGTCGACGCTGCGAGCAGCAAACTGGCAGCCGGCCGCGTAGCGGCGCTATACGATCTTTGGCAGCAGCAGCTAAAACAAATAACAGAGTCGGTTTCGACTAATTTTTGACAACTAGACTACATCATACTAAAATTTGAACGTAATTAATTAATTAGCTAAGGTAAGTTACATATTCAATATAATTAAATTCTTAAAATAACATACTAACAATATGTGATTACATTCTATTTAAATGTAGTGTTTTGTATGGTTACCACGAACCATTCATTGATTGGCCTACACAAACAATATGCCTGGCCTGCATAGCAACGCAATTTAGGCCTAGGCCTAGGCTTAGACTTAGTAGTACTAGCCTAGTAGCTGGGGCCTAGGCCTAGGCCTCTTCAAGCAAAATTGACTCAACCATCATGAATGAGGTTAAAAACTCAGTCTCCACAGTCTACTGATGACGATGGATACTGTCTTACTGTTTGTAAATTTTAGGCAGGGTTAGAGGACCAGTCTTGCATATAAATAATAATAATTTAATATGTGTTTTTTATTCGGCTCTCTAGTAGTAGAAGGCCTCGCCTAGTCTAGGCCCTAGCCCCTAGGCCCAGCTGAGCATATTGTTGTATAATATGTATTCTACACAGTATTTCTTTGTTTTTGAGGTTCGCGATGTTCCAACTTATGTTATTCATTCACATACCATAATATCAATTGTGTTTATAAGGGCAAATAGAAAAATTGATTAGATTATCACTTCCGCCCGTGTCAAAAATTCGGGAAATATTGATGCGGGAAGAAAAAAAAAAATTTCTGCCGCATCAATTATTTCAACAGCATAAAATAACAATGCAATTTTGTGACTTCAAATACATTTTCTTTAAAAACTATAAAATTAAACCTGTTTTGATACAATATTTACTATTACAGGCCTGGGTACAGGCCAAATATAAACAGTCCCTCCCTCATCGATAAAAACAAATGCGAAATAATTTATTGTACCGATTAAAAAAAAAAAAAAAAAAAAACCGCCCTCCCTCATCAATTTTTTTTTAAGAGTGATAATCTAATAATTTTTTCTATGTACCCTAAACTCTTTACAAAAAAGTTGACAAAATTTTTAATAAGGGCCTGATTAAAGCCATAATGATAGACTACTTTTTCATTCAAAATACTAAAGAACTTATAACAAAGTCACTTTCTTCAATTTTTTAATCAGTCATTCATTCTTTATTCAGCCAAAAAAATAAACAGTACAATTTACACAGTATAAACAACAAAAATAACAATACAAATTGAAAAATAACCTAAGATGGCTAGGATTAATGATAGCCATAACCACTCCTATGTTAAATATTAAGGTTCTTTTCAGTAGCCTATCATATGAGGCCTGTTATACCAAGGAAGATCAAAAGAGGAGTAATTTTTTTTTTATTGAGTTGAAAAAAAATAAAAAAACTTCATAGATTCTAACCACTCTACTCCATTCTTTGCACAGGGTTTGTAGAGAAAGTTGCAAGTTGAGACTGCCATGCCTCATATGAAGCCAGCCAAGAAAACCCAACCATTATGGAAGGAATGGGATTTTAAAGCACAGAAAAAGGGCATTCATCACACAGTATATGAAGTTAATGGAGATGAATACACTGGAGAATGGCTAGACAATAAAAAGCATGGTGTGTATTGTAGTTTTGTTGAATTTTGCTGCTTTTGGTGGATTTTTGCAGATGTTAAGTATTTTTAGGATGTTTGGTTTCTATGTATTATTGTGATCCCTTGGGAAAAAGTAACATAAGTACTCATAAAGAAAATTTGAACATGGACAAAGTACATGTTTTTTGATTCTTACGTAAAAATGATGATAAATTCAAAATTAAAAGCCAATTTTTGTACTTAAAACAATGTATACCATTGGTGCGACAAGTAAACTTCAAATATTTTTTTTTACAGGTAAAGGAACACAGAAATGGAAGAAAAACAAATCACTATATGATGGTGATTGGAAGTTTGGTAAACGAAATGGTTTTGGTACATTGAGTATACCAGCAGAGGGAGGAAGCTATAAAAGAATTTACTCTGGAGGATGGAAAAATGATAAAAGACATGTAAGATACGCAGACAATTTTATACTGTATACGTTAATTCTGTGATGTCTGCTTCAGGGTTCACAATAGCCAGGATTGACTTAATGGGAAATATTCTGGTTCAGTGAGCTTTCTTAACACTTCTTTATCGTATTTTGATGTGCATTGTGATACCAAAGAGTAGGCATATAGAACGGCAAAAGTTCCAACTGCCTTCATTCTGTACGCTTTAGTGATACCCATAATAATACAGTTGTAAAACCTTCAAAATGAAACATACTATTAGTCTTCCTTACTCTATGATCAATTTTTGGAAGAGACATTTACTTTGAACTTTGTTCTCTTGTGGGAGTTTTCCACTTGGTATTAATGGCTTAAACGTCTCATCTGAAAGACAGTGCACTTTTGAAACTTGCATTTTAGCCCTCCAGCTGAAACACAAGTAGAGCATTGACAGGAATTGAAACTGGTACCACAAAGAGATCTCCACGGTTCAGCGCACACAGAGTGGTTACCACCACTTTAGCCAACTGAGCTAGCTGCTCTGGAGACCATGACAGTTTCCGGGAGACTCCCCATGACTTGTGGAAGACATTGGACCCAAGTCGTGATATGGCAAAAAATGAAGTTTCAAATTTTTATTTTTTGCTCTAGGGTTATGGAACTAATTTTTATACAGCGGACGAATATTATGAGGGTGAATGGTACTGTGATAAGAGGAGTGGATGGGGAAGGATGTACTTTTCTGATGGCAGTATTTATGAAGGAGAATGGTATAACGATCAAAGAAGTGGACAAGGCATGCTCAGATTAGGTATATCCCTAAACATTTTCTTCCTGATTGTGTCATCATATCTAGAGACATGTTGAAAACTCAACGTTTCAATATATTTTTATCATTTTCAAGAATCATGATGAGAAATCCTCATCTATCCATATACTGTATGTTCTAAGCAATATTACAGAAATGTAACAGAAGGTAATTAAAAATAGACCAATCATGTACAAGCAAAATTAAAACTCTCCAATAAAATAAAAGAGGTGTGTCTCCAACTTTATTGAACATCTTATTTGTATGTTAAAGGTGCAATAAGACAAATATTGAAAACAAATGTTGAAAGGTACAATAAAATAGTGTATAAGGAGTCTGCGAACACTAGCTGAAATTCAAGTCTAATAAATGGCACAGGTTCTATCCTTGTTATTTGGCTAACAATGGGAGAAAATACACAATTGAGGTGGATAAGCAAAATAATGTTTTGAGCTTCACTTCAAAATTGATGGATGTCAATCATATGTGTATGCCTTTGTTTAATCTAAAGAGCCTTTAAATGACAGCTTATTTTACTTTTTAATCTTGCTTTCGTTTAGTTGTTACAGACTTCTCTAAACTAAACTAATGACAAAATATTCATGGTTGTGATAATTTAAAAAATGTTGAACTATTTCCAATTAATGAACTGTGTATTTGACAATATTCAATATTGATAATTGTAAATATTTAATATATTGTTGTTGTGAACTGTACTTTATTTACTGTTTTAACAGCAACAGAAAACCGATACGAAGGATCATGGAAACTTGGCAAGAAGAATGGCCCTGGAAAGTTCTTTTACCTTGACAAGGGGCAAATGTATGAGGGTGTGTGGGTTGATGGCATACCAAAGTGTGGAGAGATGGTTGATTTTGGCAGGGAAGGGGCACCAGATCCAACCGTTTACCCTATACCAGAGGTAAGTGAAATTACCTAGTTTTGGTATATTTTGGTTGCAATAGTCCATGCATGTGGGTCTGTGATGCTGACATCATCAAATTTGTTGAAAGATTGTAAACAAGCAAACTTGAATTTCCAAACACCTGTTGTTTATGATTATTTGCATACATGTAGTATGCTCTCTTTAAAGAATAGTCCTGGATCTGCCCCCTGGGGAAGGAGTACAGAAACCTTTGCTGGAGAGGAGAAACCAATAATTTTGTCACAAACGCTGCTCATAAAAAACAATTTTTGTAGTTTTAGAGTGCCCGGAATCAGAGGTGCTATTATCTTCAAAATTGTTCATGGATTTAATGCCCGTCTTATTTACCATAAAGTATAATATTTTACTAATGGCTGCATAAAACCTTCAGCTCTTGCAGAGGTCTGATTTTATTTTATACTGGTGGTGCTGCCCTTGTCATATGTCAAATCAATCAAATTAAATCAATTCTTTATTGTCCAAAATTGTATAGAAAACATTGCCTGGAAATTTTTCCTAAAAATACAAACACTACCCACAAATGTGTGCATGTGAGAGAGAGACATAAACTTGTTCATATTATGTATAGGGCCTAATACATTTTGTAATTTATGGTTGCATGTTAAAATGTCTTTTGGTGCATAAATCTACAGTAACATTGATTTTAGAATAAACCAGATGAAAATAATTAATTCTTTTTTAGATCAAGTTGCTGGATCCCAAAGCTGTTCTCGGAGAAGCTGAGCAAATGTTCCTTCAAGAACAAGAATGAATGTCATGTGATCATATTTATAATTCTTCTAAATCTCAATCACCTTGCCTATAATTTAAAGGCACTTATCATGATGCCTATGAATTGACTATTATTTTTTGGGAGCTGTAGATTCTTATTCGCTGTATATACTGTAAAGATTTGTATATATATTTGTAAAATAAATAATTAGTAAGAGAATGTAATCTAGTGTGTCTTCTTGCATCTTATCTTCCCCTTCTACCAGTATCTCACAAATTAAATGTCATGTACTTGATTTAAATCTTGCATCTTATCTTCCCCTTCTACCAGTATCTCACAAATTAAATGTCATGATTTGATTTAAATGTAGAAGTTAAAATACATTAGGGGCAGCTGAATCTTTTGAGTTTTTTGCTTTAGCTGTCAATGACCATCGTTTTGTTGTTTCTTGTTTTTGTGCTTTTGAATGTTTATATGGTCCAATAAATAAATAAAAAATGATGAATCATAATGCATTGTGAACAAAATCCAGTCAGTATACTTAAATATTATATATTATGCTTTACTTAATTTCAGCTCCAACATAACACCCTCAGCAGCAAAATGATATATAAATTTCATTGCACCTAAAAATATTTGGAAATAAACATATTTGAATTTGGTAAGGAATACTGTAATAAGGGATAAATACAAAAGCACAACAGAATCACAGAAACACTAATGAACTGAACTATAACCTTTGAACTATGACAAGTTGGTACACCTATGCATTACAGTTATTTTAATTAGACATTGTTGCTAAGATACACAAATATTTCTTCAATATGATAAAGATGTACAGTATACTTGGGTGCCTAATTACATTAAAATGTAAATAAGGCAATGGAGTAAAAAAACTCCATGGTAGGCCCTACATGCACTATTAGCCCCAACCATTACTTTCTTCTTTAACCACATCATTACTGTGTTTCCTCCACACAAGTAAAAAAAAACTATATTAAAAATGATTTAGCTTTAAATCTAATCTCGCCACGAGAGACCTTGTGAATAACAAAAAATGTACAGTTATCAAATGTGTGTCATCATTAAATATAAAATTATTTAGTAAAGATAATAAGCGTTTCAAGTCCAGTGGAAAATTGAAAAAAATTAACGTATCAAATTACTATACATTAAATGATAACAATAAGTAATGTAGAAATATACAAGTATATCCTAATGAGCAAAAGACTATTCCTATTATTTTTTTTCTAATAGATATAAACCATTAAAACAGTAGAGATAGCTGAAAATACATCATGTTGGAATAACATGGGTGACGCACATCTATGCTAATTTTTAAGGTTTCTTATAATTTAAAGAAAACTAGTTGTGACCTAATATCGGAAAGTAAATTTACCATATTTTGTGCAATAAATTTTTATATTAATGAAAAAAATGAATATAAATAATATTAAGCGAATATTTTAAGTATAAGAGAAAAACAATTATATCGAAATTGATTATATCCCATACCAACAAAATATCTAAAAATGAGCCAGACTCATCTCAACCGACAGCAACTTGCCAGCAACTGTGGGCAAATGATGAGCATGTTACGAACAATTTAAATTAGAAATGTTAGCACAATACTGTACAAATTCTTTAGTTCAGTATTTAGAGGACTAAGCCTATCGGAATGTTAAACTTTATAAGCTGAATACAGTTTTTATTAATTTAATATACTTTATTATAAATTATATTTTAAAAATAATGTATCACTGTAAATAGCAAATATTATGTAGCAGTACAAACAGACATGTAACACACATGAACAGATGTTATAAAAAAAAATATCACAGAATTGTACTTAAAAATAAAATTAATACTTTCTTCAGATTGTAATAAACCCTCTCATAGTTTCAATGTTTCTACTAAAAACGGCAAAAAACCTAGAATAACATCCAATCAGAATTAGGAATAGGTTTAAGACTGGTGAATATAGTCACTGCCATTTTTAAAAAATATACTTTGACCTTTGACATACTCATGTGCAATTAAAACTATGCAATGTTAATATGATAATGTTTAGCAATATGATACAATCTGTGGGAAGAAGTAGTGGCCATCACTTTACAGACTAATAAACTGAAGCCAATGGCTTAATAAAGTTTATTGTACTTTGTAAAGTGAGAGACCAATATAGCTAGCCACACATAAATGAATGAAACAAAGCAAAATGGAATGTTCAATGTCTCATTATGAGGCTTCAGGAAAGGAATTATTTTTAGTTGTGAAATGGCCTTTACAGGATTTGAACGTACAAATGATAGCATCTTAATCACTTGATTGTTGTCTATACATCTTGGACCATCGGTGTTTCAGTACCATTTTTCTGTAACTCAGTTGCAAGGTCATCCAGTTCATCAATAGTAGTATTGTAGCTTTTGTATTTATGTGTGACTAACTTGTGGTAGAAATGATATGCAAACACACAGACTGAAAGTAGAGCTGGAATCAGCAAAGCTGTCGCTACCCATCCTGCCTTTTTATAATTTTCATAGAATTGAATCCATATCAAAACCATTATTTCCAATAAAAATAGAAGAATACCAAGGGCTGTTGATGCTATCCAAGACATCTCAATATATGTGTTCATACTATCATGAGGGGATTCTTTGACAGCGTGTATGTTGTGCACATTGCTGACAGCTTCAATGTTTGGTAGGATACATGTACTGACAAGTAATGCAAAGAGATGGGTAACAATAAGTAAGATTGTTATGACACTGAAGCACATGATCAATGCTCCTGGTAGTTCTTTCGGGAGACTGATTTCAACCAATGCAACCTGTTGGAAAAAGAACAAAAAACATCCCAGTAAATTATGCATCATACAAGACTATTCGTAATTTAAATCAATAAAGCACCAAAGCCCACAACAAAATTGAATGATCCCGGGAATGATCTGCAGCACTAATGATATTAGCATTGACGTTAATCAACCATCATATAATAAAATACAGTAGTAAAATCAGTAATGAGTATTTTAGTTTATTAAACATTGTTTAAATTATTCCCTAAGATGTGTACAGTATTTATGCATTTCAAAAATACTTTCATGATATTTGTATGTATCGTTTCTCAATAGCTAGTTTTGAGAGTCAATGGTACTAGACAGTAATTATTTGCTCTTTTTGCCATCCTGTATGGCTGGAAATATTCAGAATGTAATGTACTATGTTTGTGTGCCATTCCATTAAGACAAAATATATACAAAATATATTAAGTAATAGTAATACATAACACAATCCAATTATTCTTCTTCACCCTGTTAGTAAAGATAGTTGTTAAAAAATCTACAATAACAACAACATGGACATGCTATTGTGTTAATGACGTTCTAAAACTAGGTGTCCCCAGGAAATAATTTTTAAAATCGAATGATAATTAGGTAGGGCCTATAACACAGGGCCCGGGGTACCATCTGTCACAGGACACCTAGAATTCTATGTGTTTATATGTTGAAATAATTTTTAAAATCGAACGATAATTAGGGATAACACAGGGGGTACCATATGTCCCGGGGACACCAAATATTTTTTAGCTTAGCCAAAATATTTGGTGTCCCCTTCTATGCTATAATCACTAAAGCGTGAAAAATATTGAATAAACATTAAAATGCATGAATAAATAAGAAAATTATGGTTGAAGCGCATGCGCAGCAGTAGGGGACGCCTTCTATCCCGGGGACACCTAGAATTTTAGTTAGAAAAGCCTTTTGTTAAAGGGCCTCCCAAGCTCATATTGAACCATGGATATGTAAATGCATTCGACAATTCTATTTTAGATCTTCAACAAACATGATTTGACAGCGGATCAAAATGTTAACCATTTGGTAATAAACTAACGTACCATAGCAAAACCTGCAAGAAGCGCAGACGTTCTGCTAGAAGCCTTCAGCTTAGCCCGACTCAAGTACAATCGCCGCCAGGACAGGGCCTGCTCCGAGTGTTGGTTCGACATTTGATCAACATACGACTGATAAATCCACTGAGAATAACTAACTTTAGCCAGGATTTCAATCTATGTAATACACAGGGGAAGTAAAAATATTAAAAATATATGATGACCTAGTAGTTTTTAAGAATGAAATACTATCATTAACGTATAATGAAACACAATTTTAGTCAAACATACGGAATAACACTGTTCATCTTCCGCACTATTTTCAGAATGGCAGTGTTTACGGAAGGAACTTGGTTGTATACACATTTCATCGAAGTATTGAAAAAAAACACTTAACTGTAATACATAAATTATGGTATAGATAAAAATACAATTTCAATATGCCAGTTTAATAAATCTTCTAAGAATATTTTATAAGATTATATACTGATATTTAAAGATTTTCTGTTACAATAATTTTGACAAAGGCTCGATTTCAATGGTGACCTTGTGAGTGACCTCATATGCTAATGATTTATTTGTCGCATAATGAAGTTCTTCGACACTAGTGTACGTGACCCTTGTGGATTAATAAATGGCGTTGGGAAATTTAACTTTAGATCTATTCCTGAATAATTTTGAGTGAATTTTGCATGGGCCTATACTCAGACATGTCTAACGAGTCAAACACAAGACGTTCATTGGTTTGTAATTGTCATTTTTCAATGTAAAAACAACAATTTCTAAGGTGTTATGTAGATACTCCTGAATAGTGCCTAGCCATTTTTGCATTGTTGTGGCTATCTAACTCCAATATTTCGGCGGCGCTCTAAATTTTTGCAACTAAAATTATCCTTGACTTTCTCAAGAAATGCAAAGTTCGACTCAAAAGTGCAATAGAAAGCAAGAACAAAATTATTATGATTATACTGCCCCACTTTTAGTTGTCTCGGTTGACGCAGAATACAAAAAATCTTAAAAATGCGTGTTCATTTGAACAGCAGTGAAGGGAATTCGGCTTGAGGAACACCGTGAGAAAAAGGAAATTTGAAAATTGCGCCAAGTAGCCCATAAATGGCTAATTTCAATATAAAAAAACATTTTTAAATGTTTATATGTATTAAACTAACTTATCCCGGTGTTACTTCAACCTTAATTTGAGTGATTCGTTATAATTGGATTGAATATCTACATGCAGTCAACATCGGCTTGAATAATACCCATTATGGATACAGGACAACATTCCATTGGAGTACAATATTTTTCTCTATAATTGATTAATTCTTTTTAGTAATTCAATATTTGCTCGAATTTTTCGCATATCATATTAAATAAAAATAATGTGTGATTTTATATCAATAATGTATAGCTAGGCATACGTTTTGAAATATATTTGACCCTTTTCAAGTCGTCATGAAGTGTGTATCGTAATCATGCTCCATCTAATTTATGTTTTTCTTTGCTTAGCCAACGATTTTTAAAGTTTTATGGTATGTTTATAGGCACATTTTTTGTAATTATTATTTGTGGCACTTTGTTGTTTTTCTCTGTTATTGGGGATATACCGGATGTAGTGTAGTATATCGGACAGGGTTATGCCTACATGTAACCTTCCATTAGGAGGTTCTCTTATGAAGAAGTACAGGAATCGTTATGATAACAATTCTTTATTTTACTACAGAATGCCAATAGATGATATCTTATAAATTATTGTTGTTGGTTAATAAATATTATGGTCGTTAAAAAAGTATTACCGTACAGGTCTAAGTTAAAATATAGGCCTGCAAAAGCATGTTATTATATTAAGATAGCGTTATTACAAGTCAAGTGAGATCAGATCAATACTATTGCCATCCTACCTATCGCAAGTCCTAATCAAACAAATTTTAACAAAACTTTAGTCAAAACAAAAGCAAGTAGTTGTTCAAATAAGAACAATACATTGCTCCTGATAATGCACAATCTATCCTTAAGCCATCGTCGTTTGTATTTTGCTTTCGGGTCTTAACTTTCGAATCGTATAATGATAATTTTGTAATTAAAATCGAGGAAAAGGTCCGTAAATATTGATACAAATATGGGGAAAATATCAATATCTGTAAACTAACAAAAATATTGGATAATCTGTTTAATGATTTATGAAAGTCTTAACGCCGTTATAATGACAATATTCAGCCATAATGAAACGACCACATGCAGTTTTCAGTCGATTTGTTTATTTTATTCATAGGCTAAGCAATTTCATAGATTTAAAAATAAATTGTAGGCTATATCACCTTTTTTGAGATAAGGTTTTCATAAGTAATAAAATATTGGTGATAGACTGTAGTAGGCTTACCCACAGGGCAGATGATACACATATTGTTTTTGTACCTAATTGTTAAAAAAAAAAACATTAGAATTGTTACGTTTTGAAGTTTCTTAATGTTTTTAAAAAAGTTTAATATAAAATATAAATTCAACTTAATATTATTGACAAAAAAACCCCTGTTGTTTTGACTTGTAGAATAAAATATACTATATATAACACGACCAGTTTTATACTTAGTTATTATAGGCCTGGCCAACATCAGTGGTAAAAAAAACTCAACAAGTCGTCAGTCAAATGTAAAACTTTATCTGCTGAACTAAAAAAAAAATCTTCTTTTATGTAAAACAATAATGTTTTATTTAAACTGATCCCCTTCAACACCAGCTGGTCAGTCGGAAGTAGCCAGAAGACGGAAGTACCGCTTCATGGCACTCCACGTAACTTCGTCGACTTAAAAAAAAAATCAGTTCACCTTTTTCTGTTATTCTAAACATCATATAAATATTATTATTAAGCTATAATTTTCATTTCCCGTGTTAAAAATTAACTTATAATAGCTAATTTGGAGATTTGTAATAATATGTGTACGTATGGCTTCTCACGTGTCGTAGTTATTCCCGTTCATGCAAATCATCTGATAATGCTTATCTTAAGCTCTCTTGTTTATTTATCCGGTTTGAGGCGGTGGACATCATGACCATTTTAAAAATTCACTTTACATGATAAACATAAAAATAGACCTAAAATATTCTGTTTTATGTTAACATTTAATTACTGTAATGACAATACCGTACTATTAAATTATTATTTTACCGTCGATAAAGAAAAAGTATCAGACCACAAGGCGTGAGCTCTGATGATGAGTTTCTTTGCAGGATATTTGTGGCATAAGTTGCCTTTCAACATGGCTTTAAAAGTCCTTTGTTGTCCAAAAACTGCCGTTATGCATTTATGGTGCCAGTTGATTGATAGATTTAAGTAGTTTCATGCAAATCATGGGATGATACATTCCAAATGTAATTGTAGAAGTAAAACCAGCTAAAAACAAAACCACCATTATTTATTCTGTTTGTAAATGGCTTCTCTTTCAATCATTTGTTAATAGCCATAATACATAAGGTGTTTGTTTTCCCGTGGAGGAAATATGGTTATCCATGATCATGGAAGTAACAAATGACAAAAAATGAATATGTTTATAGGCATATGGCAGCATAAGTGACTTCTTCGTGAACTTGTAAGTGAACTTATGCAGATATTTGACCATAAACATAATACATACAGTAAACATTTATATGAAGAAACTTTACAATCATATGCTTGAAGTGTGATCATGCTCATGATACACCTCCATGGTGCGATCGTATCCAGGCCAGCCTTGCAAATAGTGTCCTACCATAGAGGAAATATCTTAATATATTTCCTCTATGGTCGTAAGCATGATACACTAGAAGCCAAAAACATCTTGGACTAAACACATTTGGGGGCAAATTCGTCTTTGAAAATAATGTGGTTCATGCGTTCATTAACAGTAACATTTATTATGGTACCTGTGTTGTGCATGGCCTAACTTTATACGTAGGCTATAATAATAAAAAGTCATAAAGAAATCTCGAAAATGTAGGTTATCTTTTTTAGAATTTACCTTATTTTTACTTTGGATATTTCAAAGGCCACTTTTCAAGTTTTATGTAATAAATCTGATACCTCAAGCCATGGATTTTGCCCCATTATTATGATAATTCCGTAGGAATATCAAAAGGTTTACAATTGCCAAAAAAAAAAATAAAATAAATAAATAAATTTTGGAAATCTAATTTTTGGCAAGAACGTCTTTTTCCCCCCTTTTTTTTCTACCAAAGATGAACCCAAAATGTTTCACAAGGTCACTTCTCTAATTTTGATTAATACATTTGATACCGTACCTTGAACTATATACTTTAGCCCCGTTGTTACAATTTAAGCTATACCAACATAAAGTATGGGGTGCTGTGGTGAGTTGGCAACGAATCATAGAATCAAGCGTAGACCTAGGCCTATTTTTTTTTTACTGAAAATTGTTAATAAAAGTAAATAACAGTATATATGACCATCTATTTGTCGATTTTCCTATGAAAGTTATTATTATTTATTATTATTATTATTATTATTATATACTATTGTTATTAATAATAGTATTATTCAAATACATTGTTGAATTTTACTGTAGCACTAGACTTATTTTGTTCGTTAGAAAACAAGCTCAACATATCTCAAGTAATAGTTTTATAGCAAAGTTGAGGCCTGCACTATTTTACAGTGTCCTATTCTTATGCTTTTATGAGTAGAGATTTATTGTCCAGAAGCATAACTGCTCGTCGACGATCGTGTAATTAATTATACTTATACTGTCTATATTTTAGGCAATTGTCTTACATTGATATATACAGTACTTGTTTTATACAGTAATATGATAATATGAACGCCTTGTACAATTAGCGCATTATAGGTGGACTTATTACGATGAACTAGATAAACAGCTTTTTTTGTCACGTGTTCTAATTATACATTTTGTATTTATTTTATTGTTATTAATATTATTTTTGTTGTAATAATTATTGTTTTTGTTACTCTTAATTATTCTTGTTATTATTGGCCTAACATTCTTTTTACTGTCGTATGTTATATATTGTTGTATTTTTATTATTTTATTTAGGTTTAAATAGGCCTATTGTCTTATTTGTCACATGTACTTAACCATATTTTTGAATTTTTTGTGTATAATTCCATATTAGAAAAAAATTTGTTTATAGGTTTCTCATAAAATATTAATTAAATATTAACAACCAACTCCAATGATAAACATGTTGACCAGGCAAGAATTCGCTTCCAGTCCAGTCCAGGGTACTCAGAAAGACAGAGTTATTTTGATTTATTACAAATGTAGGCCATGAAATCATAGCTTGCACTACATATATAGCCTAGTAGTACTGATCCAGGGGCTGTGGACACCACTTGTGGTGTCATTGCACAAGTCCCTGGATAATTTTCGCTAAATAGGTATTATGAATTAATTGGAGAATGAGCTAAGCCTCGTAACCAGACTTCAGGACGTTACTACTGCACGAAGAATGAGAAAGATATATAAGCACAGCAAAAGTGCAAAATATTAATAATAATTAATAATTTATTCTGCTGGTTATTTTTAGCGACCCAAACTCAGGAAACACTACCATGAGGGCGAGGACCAAGATGCCGCAATCGAAGGCCATCGCACTTTTGACTTGGAAGATAAAATCACCTGCAGACACTTCGGAAACAAAATGGTGAAACGCATGAAAGGAGAAGGTTAGTGATTATTTCTGATCATAATCAAGTATTCATTTTTATGACTTGAATATCAACTTAAAACAATAGTTTGTTGGTTGTAATATCATTCATTAAATTATTTTGTAAATTATTCAAGGTCAGATGCAATTGCATAAGCTTGCACTGACTACAGTAATGCAAAACATTCGTACAGTTTATATTGTAAATCCAAATGTAACTATATTTACTTTATATTATAGTTTAGTAATATTTAATGTAATAAATGATAATGATATTAATGATAAATACACAATTTTGTTGAATTTTATCCCTAGGTGTTTATGTTTTATTTTATTTTTAGGTACTGGATATGTTTGTTAAATGTTTGTAAGGGTTTTTGTGATGTTTGTACTGTCGACCTTTCTTATTATATTTATTGTTATTTTATGTCTTAAACATGACAATTTTTAAAAACAGACTGTTACTTATTGTCTGAAATTGTATCCCGTATTCTTGGGCTAGTAGAAATTGACCAATATGTGTCAAAATGTTTTTAGATCTGTACATTCTTTATGTTGCTACTCATGTTAGTGATGCCTAATAATTAGGCTCAGTGGCGTCGAGAGGGGGTCAGGGGGTCGCTGCCCCGGGGCCCGGGTCTACTGGGGGCCCCGGACCAAGAGGAACAATTTTCGGGGTAAGAACAAAATCTCCATAGGCCCCGAGCCCAAGCCAGGATGAAAACTTTTGTTGTCAGAACAAACTACACATTATGGTTTATTTCTTGTAAATTCCTCTTAAGGTAAGTGAAATAAAATATGATACTGATCTTAATCTTTATGATTGATTTTATATGTACCTCACACTGCATGCAAAGTGGTATGTATATACGTGTATTATATATATAATTATTATCGTTTATTCATCAAATTATTCTGATACATCTACATTGCAAAAAAATAATCACATGGAATCATATTCGTGTATGTGGGTTTGGACAAATAGGGTTTTAGGAGGAGACTTAATTTGGGGAGCGGCCGAGTGGGGGTCCCAAGTGAAGGGGGGGCCCATGTGAGGTGTTGACCCGGGGCGCTTACTGGCTCTCGACGCCACTGATTAGGCTTAGGCTTGCTGTAGTTGGCACAATTTCCGAAAATCCAACGTTTACATTTCCCATAATGCATTGCAATTATAATTTTATAAAAAGTTAAATAAAATGCGGAGTATTATTTAGAATTAATGTAACATGGAACGAATGTTGACCGACGCACACTGACGCAACTACTCTAACAGTGGGATGTCAGTCAGATTCTCATGGTCAGATCTAGATCAACCCTACATGTTTGAACCTATACAGATCGACGCACACTGACGTAAACGTTATTCTGACAGTTATTGCAATCTGGTCCAGACCATCCCTTCATTCCTGTACTGTATTGGAATTACAAGTATCCCGCAGACTTGCATTACATTGTTATGTTCTTTTTGTTGAAATGTTTCTTGTTTTGGGATTCAAAGAAGAATTAAAAAAATGATGTTTTTCCACTAACATGTTTGTTTTTATAAGACCACATCGTTCTCTGAATATTAAAAAAACAAATTGAAATATTCAATTGGACTATAATGATTGGTTGTTTTATGAAATAAATGGAAAATATTTCGTTTCCAATCGATTTTATATCAGATTTGAAACAAATGTTTGACTTTTTAAAACGAAAAAAGGGGTTTCTTTAGAAGATGGGCACCACACTCATAAAGTTATGAATCTAGTATATCAGACCGTGGTCAGGCTTAGAATCAGACTGGTAGTATGGATGTTTACATTTCTCAGGGATGGGATTTTCTTGGTGTTCTGGCCGTTGAAAGAGTAAAACTAAAAAAAAAATAAAGAGGAAGCCAAAAAAAAGATAAAAATAAAATAAATAAATAAAAAAAAAAAACAAACAAAAAGAAGAAAAAAAAAACAAAAACACGAGGGCATCCCTTTGAGTCTGATGGAAATTGGTAAAAGCATTTGAATAAGTAACAAACGGTAACAAAACTAAAAACAGTTAAAGTTAAGATTAAATAGTCACTATTTATTATTTACTTAAAAACTAAGAATGACAATACCAATATCAAGGTTGTTTCACAAGAGGTCCAGGCACCAAATCCATTTCTCATTACAAACTATTAATGAAGTAGACCAAGTTTTTTACAACAGGCTATATTGTTTCTTAATATCTATATAAGGTTATGCTCATGTGTTTTGTGCTGGAATTTGAATATGGTTGAGGCATACGTAGAATTATGAACTGCGTAGGTCTGCTATGAAACGTAGAGGTCGTTAAGAGTACAGTGTCTTTACGGTAATGTCCTTAATGATTTCACCTTTAGTACTGATTAAAGGTTGAATACTGACAGAGAACAAAGCGTTTTATTCTGTTGTTTTGTGAACGATAACGCGAGGGCAGACCGAGTTCAGTGTAGTAGGCAACTATTGTTACGAAACCGGCCACCAAAAGCCACCACAAGTGCTCATGTTTGCCCACCATGCATAAGTAGGCCTTTATTGGCACCTTTGCTACCCTGTGTTTCTGGCTTTTCATTCTCATTGTCTTTGACTTTGTGTTGTATTTTTTCTTGTGGGTCTGTCGTAGCCATGGTCGGCAGTGACAGGATATGCCTTTTTAAATTGCTTTACATGGGTCAAGTTATGGACAAAGGTTCTTAAAAGGCCTATTTTATTTCAGTGATCTTTGGTTCTCATTTACACTCTTGCGTAACAAATTTAATAAGAAACACTGAGTTTGTAAAATCACCTAACAAATTAGATTTTCTGAGCTGCGAATAAATCGGACAGATTAAAGTAAATAATTAGGCGAGGCCTAATGACTGTAAATGTTATAAAATTTTGCTTACTTGGTGTTGATAATGGTTACTGTAATATACATAGGCCTATTGTTTAAAATTTAATCTAAACAAAAAATATATTATCGAATGTACATTTGATGTCAATAAAAAAAAACTCTAATAACGCTCACGGAAGATTAAATTAGCGACTCTTCGCATATATACGGTACTAGTTCACTACACGGTAACCTTTGTAAAACATCATATATAGGCTTACATATAGGCTTGTAATTATACAGGAGTCAACATTCAGAAATATGTGATGTAAGTTGTGAATAGCATATCTACGGTATATAAACAGATTATGACACCCAGATGACCTGTGCTAAGGGTAACTAACGCCCGAACTAACGATATCTCAACAACACTTATTACTAGACTAGGACGATTCTCTGAAAGTATCAAAGATGAAACTCAGGAAATTTGAATTTATGTATATTGAATACGTATTGATGTATTTTATGATTTCATAAAGTATGAAAGGGCCTTTAACTTCTGTCCTTGTTTCAATGCAAATATATCAATAGCGCACCTAGCCGCAAAAATAGCGACCCCATTGGAAAAAAAGTCTTAGGCAGTGGCGTAAATATGTGCTCTTGGGCCCCTCATACTCTAGCCTTGACATTACGGCCCAGTACAAGGCACCCAAAACCAGAAATTAAAAGAATGTAATTCCAGGTGTATGTAATCCCAGAGTGTCCTACATGTGAAGGACTCACATAACAACAACTTCTGCTCAGTCTGTTTCTCTGCATCTGTAGTTTGGTTACAATAGGAGTTGCCTTTTGTTTTTGTTTTTCCAGCGCATTGAGACTTCGGTATAATGCGCTATACCAAATCCCACTACATTACATTACATTATATAAGACTAGGCCTATATCAATTCCCGACCCAAAATTGTTCCACATCCCGGCTCGAAATGCGGCCCTGCTCCACTAACTGTTCGATAGTCTGGAATAAAGGGCAGAATTCACGGAGTTTCGAATCAAATTAATAAAGTATAACATGCTTAATATTCCACTGGGGAGGGCTACTTTCGTGATACCGTACTCACGCGAATAAGCGCCCCGTTTGAATAAGCGCCATTCTCGAATAAGCGCCCCTTTCCTTAAGCGCCGCCCCGTTTGAATAAACGCCCCCTCAATAATCCAATCAATCCTGGGACCTTGGATATTGGCATGATTTGAGGTGTGGAGTGGAATCACATTCTCCTGTAGTCAATATCAAAATGAGGATATTTATATTGGACAGATGAGAGCTCCCTGGACAGACAGTTCAAACTTTCATCATCTTACATTTGTCTAAAGCCTAGTCCTACTCCTTTTTACCTTTAACACATTCTCATCTGCAATGATCATGCCGTCCTGCTATTCCCAATCGGCCGATGGCCAACAAGCTAACCACCACCACTAATTTAAGCGCCGCCCCGTTTGAATAAACGCCCCTCAATAATCCAATCAATTCTGGGACTGTGGATGTTGGCATGATTTGAGGTGTGGAGTGGAATCACATTCTCCTTTAGTCAATATCAAAATGAGGATATTTATATTGGACAGATGAGAGCTCCCTGGACAGACAGTTCAAACTTTCATCATCTTACATTTGTCTAAAGCCTAGTCCTACTCCTTTTTACCTTTAACACATTCTCATCTGCAATGATCATGCCGTCCTGCTATTCTCAATCGGCCGATGGCCAACAAGCTAACCACCACCACTAATTTCATCTGCTATTCTGTTGTTATGTAATACTGTACTCACAACATTCTTGTCATGACAAGCCATGCTCTCTGGACGATTATCTTTTCAGCCGCACCGGTTTCCTGATGTCCTTATATAATCGTTTTTCATTCAAAATGTGCCTCTTGAATTTAATAAGTCCTCATATAAACCCCTCGATTTTCATCTATTTCCATAAACGCCCCTCAATTTCCACTCTGTTTTCATAAGCGCCCCGTTTGAATAAGCGACTCTCAAAAAGTGCAAAAATATTTTAAGCGCCCGGGCGCTTATTCGCGCGAGTACGGTACTCCTAATCGGTTACTAAATAAAATCGATGGGCCCGTTGCCTTCACTTCCCCCCCCCCCCCCCCCCCCCCCCCGCCCCCGGGGTTCGTCGTTACGCCATTGGTCTTAACTTAAGACACCGAAGAAAGTCATTGCATTATCTCATGATGGAATTATAATTATTACAGAAAATATGCCATTTATAGATATTAACTTTCTTTTCCCTGTAGATTTTACTTACAAATACATTCAAGAGCATGGATTCACTCAGCCTATGCTATTTCATCAACACGATGGACTTGGATTGGTGTAAGTATAAAATACAGGCGATAGAAGGCCGTACTTTGTATTTAGGCCTAAATAGGCCTACCGTGCCACCACGTTTTTAGTGATATGTGTGTGTTGATGTTTTGTGTAGAGTATACGATAATTATTTACCCAATATATTACGATGTAAAAAAAAGCGCAATATTTTCTGTTTTCTTTCAGGGTTCCCGGCAAGGAATTTAGTGTGAATGATGTGAAGATTTGTGTTGGTAAGTATAGTACTGGGAAGCACCTAATATAACAAATGCATAAACGCGATTTTAATATTTTTTTTAATGTTTTTTTTCTATTACTGTATTACAGTAATCTTCTCTTTAATATAAAACGTCTTTAAAATGGTGTTTATTTATACTTTCGGTTATACTTGATCCCGTTAAGTGATAATTTATAGCGTTCCGGCTGAGTACAAGTGATATCACCGAGAAATAATGATATGCACGTCTTTTGTTTTATTAATTTATTCAGCGAGTGATTTATTGAACTATTTTAATGTTATCCACCGCAATATGGCTTTTATATTTAATTTTTAAATAAGTAATGGTCTCTCGTACTCGGTGTTCCTCGTGCTATTAATTTTAGGGCTACTCTCATTATCGAGCAATTTAATTTAAGTTTTATATAATTGAATTATGTGCATATATTAATTAATTCCATATTTGTCGTAATTGTAGTATTTGTAATTTGGTATTAGTTCCAATTTAGTAGATTGGAGGTGGAGGCTACTTCATGACAGTAGCTTCTTTGTTATTTTTATTCCTTCATGGAAACTCCTTTTTACTTATTGTATATTTGTAATATCATGATGTATTTTCCTGAATAAATAATAATTATTATAATTGATTGTTTAATTGAAGAGATGTTTCACGGGTTAATTACAGCCTTTATAGGCCTACATCTTTTCAACGTTTTCTTTTTTTAAATAAAGTTGAATTGAAATGAATTGGTGTTTTGCAATTTTTTACAGTACAGAGACAGCAGTTGACATATCCTTCCGTTTATCAGTTTTTATAAATAAACATTCATGTTTTATAAAGTTCACATGAAAATCTGTTTTTTTTTAGTGTGTTTATAATAGGCCCACACCATAGGTATCGAAGTTATTCTCAGACGGTAAATACGATCGTACACGGCGCGCAATGGTTTGATCGTTCAGGTTCATTTGATCACCACAAATATGTTTGATAACGAATACAGTGCCAATGTACAGAATCTTTTGATGGTTTCATTGCCTATACTTTAGTATGCCTATAAGCTGTGGTTTTATAGTACAGTAGTGATATTTTACCTGGTCTGGAACGCAAAACCGTGACCTCCTGGACGCTATTTACCTTGAAACGTCACTCGAGTTTGTTCCAATGCCATTAGTTAATATGTGGCGAAATAATAGATTGCTGAAGGCATTCTAGATTTAAATCATGATTATTTTAGTTAGTCAGCATTATATCCTTGAAAGTTAGTGAATAAAAAAGATAGAAATAAAAGTATCAACGGCGCCTCTCAGAAAATGTCAATCGGGATTGAAATGTTGGATAAGCCGTAAATAAATAGGCCTAGCTAAAAGAATAAAAAAAAAAATAGCCAAAATTGATAGCGAGTGGTTAGGATCCTTTGTTTTATCCTGGAGGTATAAAAGTTTAATTTTTCACGATATACACCAGTAAAATATATACCTTGCTCCCTGAGTGACGTCAATCGTTTGAAGGTTTGTCCATGGAGAAATTATTCCTCCATGCTGTGATATAGTAGGCCTATGGTGATTAATGATGCATGTAAACGTTTTATTGTGCTCGAAAATAGAGTTGTCCAATGTCCTTGAACTTAAATAAATTTATAGGCAGTCTTCAATTCGGAAGAGTGACCCAAGTACAGTGATATTATGTCATGTCAATTTAATACTACGAAATGATGTACATACATTAGATGATATAAACATTATTTATGCATCTGTTAATTACGGCCGAAAATATTGTCTCATATCCTATTTAAAAAAAAAAGAATTTGACTTAAGTATACTGTATAAAGTAAGCAGTTCAAATGTTAAAATATTTGTTCGCTTTAAAAACACAAAATGTATATTCACACCATAGCAACATTTTATTTCACATTAAGCAATGGCATCTTGTAGGCCTAGTTGTTTAAATCTTAAACGTATATTTGCAATCAGAAACAAGATAAACCCTTATAAATAAATATTCGGTGTTTTTTTTTTGCAGGTAGCCGAAGGATGGTAGATGCTATGGACGTTAACTCGCAGAAGGCTGTTGAGATGAGTATGGCGCAGTTTGCCAAATATTATGAAAGTGAGGAAAGAGATGGCCTCTACAATGTGATCAGCCTGGAATTCAGTCACACTAAACTTGACGAACTTGTTCAGAAACCATATGTGGTAAGTCACCACACCTGTTGGAGAAATACTACTCAGACATAGGTTTTACTTTTTCTGGGCATCATATAAAACCACGTATATAAAACCACATATATATATATATATAGAAGTGGAGGTCGCTGGAACAGAATGTTGCTACTCGGAGTTTCACGCTATTGCGATCGTCAGGCAACGTCTAGAACACAGAAATTTTGTGGGGGAATTCCCCCGGACCGCCTAGAGTATTGTTATTTCGATCGGCCCCACTTTCGCCCCTCCCCCTTTTTTTGGACATCTCTGAATCCGCCCCTGAAATGCGTGAATATTTTGTACACTAGGTGCAACTGCTTGATTGGGTAGATACAGTGTGGCCTCGAGAACTAAAAGAAACTCAGAAGGACAGCACCAATGTACTTGCTGAAATGAAATATCCAAAAGTACAGAAGTAAGTGTTTTTATTTACAAGTTTTAGATGCAGACAGTATAATTGCAAAGAAAAATAGACTTGAAAGAGGAAGCACAATTTTCACAAGGTACTCTTTACTATTAATACATTGTTTCCATAATATCGCTACTCGATATCGTCGACAGCTTTTGGCGACGCTAATTGGTCAGTCGAATCTAGGACCCTCCCCAACTGTGTCGGGGATAACTAGGCAGTGTAACAATTGCCGTGAGAAATCATTGTTTATTCATTTTTGGTTGTTTTTTATTATAGGTATTGCCTTATGAGTGTAGCTGGATGTTTTACGGATTTTCATGTGGATTTTGGTGGAACATCTGTGTGGTACCATATTCTCCATGGCCAAAAGGTAAACAATTCCCATATTACCATCCAAGGTGCTGGTGATTAGTTAGTGCAGTTGAAAGGGGTTATGGGCCACCGCTGCAAGGGGACTTGTTAATTATTTTTATTTAAGTGGTTGTTATTATTACCTACTCACCACATACAAAGAATATTCAATTTTAAAACTGTTTTCAGTCTTTTTATTATTGTGTTTATATTCATTGTGATTTTTACTTAAAATCAGGAGAAGTTTTGTTTTTACGATCGTCATTAAAGTGATTTTGTTTTACCATTTAGATCTTTTGGTTGATACCGCCCACAGACGAGAACCTCAATATCTTTGAATCATGGGTGTTGTCAGGGAAACAAGGCGATGTGTTTTTAGGTGACCGGGTCAAGCAGTGTGGGAGAATCAAACTAGAATCAGGGGACACATTTTTCATTCCATCAGGTAAAAAGCCTTATTCCATTTCAACAGCAACTAAATCATCATGAGGCTTAGTAAAGTCATTTTAGTTACAAGAAAAAAATCCTGGTGTCATAATTAGGACCCAGGAATCGGAAGAAAAGCATGATCTTGAGTGTTTTGATAAGATAAATTTCAACGCGCCGATAGTTTGATGAGTGTGCTAATTGATTGTGGATGAATCATTCGTGTTTTTTAGGCTGGATCCATGCTGTGTACACTCCAGAAGACTCGCTGGTGTTTGGTGGCAACTTCTTGCACAGTTTCAACATTCCTAAGCAGCTCCGGGTCTCTGCTCTGGAAGACAAGATACATGTAGGTCTTCATTTGCATCTTTATTGTCATCACCATCCTTGGCTTCGTCGCCAAAAAAATACACGATCAAGTACCTCACTCCCTTTCACCTAATTATTGAGACCCCCCACTTCAATTCCGCCCCCACATTTCACGACTTCAAGATACGCCAATGATCTTCAACATCATTATCACTGCCGACGTCGTTATAGTTGTTATTTTAATCATCGCTATCATCTTTGATGAAGATTCATCTATCAAGGATGTAAAAATAATATAATATTTTAAAATCGAACACTGGATATAATTTAACGAGCTTCTTGTAAGTTTCAACCACTGCTGTGGTCTTGTTCAGGTTGACATCATCTAATCTTCTTATGACGTCTGAGCGGTTCCTGTCAGTGGGCTTCATTAGGCCCATGCGCCTCCTTTTGCTCTTTGATGATGTTATTTCTTACAGCGGGTAGATTAAATCTACCTGCATTTTTGTTCAGCGTCGGGTTTGTTAATTTTATATAGATTGCTTCTTTAACCCCCTGTTCAAACCATCTTGGTTCTACGGTTAAGATCTCCGTCTTATCCAGGATAATGCTATGGTCCGGATTTTCCGTATTAATGTGTTTCGAAACTTCAGATGAAACTTTGCTTGAACGACGGTCCTCCATAAACCGTGAATGTGATAGACCAGCCCGACAACAAAGATGCAGGTAGATTAAATCTACCCGTCATATGGAATAATATCATTAAAGAATGAAGCCCACTGACGGGAACCGCTCTGACTTCATAACAAGATCAGATGACGTCAACATGAACAAGACTACAGCAGTGGTTCAAGGCTTGCAAGATAAGCTCGTTAAATTATATCCAGTTTTCGAAGTTTAAAATATCACTATCATCATTAATTGTTTTTATTGGTCTTTTAAGTTGTATAGTATTCTTCCTTATGTTAGGTTCCATTTAAGTTTCGCTACCCGTTTTATGGTGAGATAATGTGGTATGTAATGGCAAGTTACATTAACGTACTGCTTGGACGAACACACATACAGAGTTTGAAGAACAAAGACTTAAAGAAAGAAATAATTGAAAAGAAAGAAAATGGAGGTGATGCTATGGATGAAAAAATTAAAGAAGAACGATCTCCTCAGCGCGAATTACTATCAGGGAAAGAAAACCAGCCTGATAGCAATGGTATCGAAAAACCTAGTACTAGCCAGTATGATGAGGTTCTTTCTACCCAATCTGATGACAATCAATCGACCAATCAGAAGGAGGAGCCTCTGGAAGCCAACAACAAAGAATTGAGTGAGAAGTCAGCAAAAGTAGAGATGAAAGATAAAAGCAGTGCAGGTTACAAACATTTGAGCAAGTATGAGTTAGAAGGTTTGAAAATGCTTCTGTGGCATCTGGAAGCTTTGTACAAACAGCCTCAAGGAAAGCGATGTGTACCAGATCTGATAGAAAACCCTAAACATGTCTTAGCTGATGCAAGGGTAAGCATATTAATTGTATTAAAACAGAGAGGAACTTGCTAATTGCAGGACAGTAATTTTCTTTCTCATGAAACTTAGGGGATGAAGTTGTTTGTAATTGTGAGACCTCAACACCACATCATCTCATTCTTACTATAATTTGCTGGTCATTGAAGAAAAGCAGGGAACAGTGTAATTTAACTGTTCCCTGAGAAAAGTTGCCAAACATATCCAGGGGCGGATCCAGAATTTTTCAAAGCATATTCAGAATAGGTATTGAGAGCGCTAATTTCAATATATGCCTTGAAATTTTAAAATTTAGTAGCAAAACAGGTTGGGGGTACGTGCCCCCTACTGAATTTTCTCAGCTAAACAAAGCAAATTAATTAGCTAATGATCTGTTCTTCTTATAAATATTCCTGTGATAATTACCCATAATGCCCATTGACAAGTCGCAGATGACACTATTAATATTAAAACTGCCTTAAACTAAGTTTGAAAACTATCCCCCGCCAAACACCAACCCGGTATTTCTGAGTCTATGTTTTGGGGACAAATTACAATCACTTAAATCAACTGTCCGTGGTTGTTCTCTTAAATATTTTGGGTCTAGGCTTCTACGTTTTAGCTATTCTAAATGATTTTACACTTGCATCCCCTTTTCCACTCCTGTTTTTTTATTCTTAAACATGTTGAATTTTTACATCGGTAATTCTAGGAAATGCTGGACATGCATGTAAGTGATAAAGCAAACTTGGCTGTCACTGGCGAGCCAGTCGTCAAGAAGTTAGAGGTTCCTCAAGTCAAAAAGAACGTTTCAGTAAGTTGAACATAAAGAATTATCACCATCTGCAATTCACCTCAAAAATACACACAGTTACATTTTAAGTTCAACACATAAAATGCTCCCCACTATTCCTTTGGTTATTAATATTTGTTGAAATTGCCTGTTAGCTTGAGAAAGCTCAGAGGAAGAACATATTAATATTTAAAAAAAAACCATATGGTCTCAAAACAATGTATGGAATTTTATAGTAAACATCTTTTAAAGTGTCCACACACCAATTTAGACACCTGACTGCTCGCGTGGACGTGTGTCTGTACTTAAACATAACTTGTGTGGAGATTGTGTGTACTTAAGCATAACTTGTATTTCATCAATCACGTTCTAATTAGTTTGTGGTCATTCATAGGCATCGAATTTAAAATTCAAACCTGGCAATGCAAACCGACCGAGGTCTAAGGCGGGCGTGATCATCAGTGCGAGGAGAAGAAGAACGCGATGCAGAAACTGTGATAACTGTCTGCGATCTGATTGTGGTCAGTGTAACTTCTGTAAAGACATGAAGAAGTTTGGTGGACCTGGCCGGATGAAACAGTCATGTATAAACAGACAGTGTCTTGCTGTAAGTACAAATTAGCTGTAGCTTATTCAGTCAGTGCCTTATGCACTCTCCAGACTATCAAATTTTGTTTGACAGAAACATGTCACATGCCTAAATATGGTCATGATGACATCACATCATAACCATATATAGGCACATCAGTGCTATATACAGGCATAGGCACATCAGTGCTATATACAGGCATACAAAACTCGACATGGCTTAACATATTTGATATATACACTTTTGGCAATCCTTGCCCCATGTGAAATAAATATAGATTATCATTTTGTATAATTTTTTTGTAAAATTTTATTTTGATTAATCTTGTAATACTGACAGCCTATTCTACCAGCATGTGCCACATGTAGTCTTTGTGGATATGAGGTCCAGGAAGGCAAGGAGCTGATGGAATGCCACCAGTGTAATGACATTGTACATCCAGCATGCCTGCAAGCCAAGGGCCAGCCTAATGAAGGTGTTGTAAATGCGGATCTTCCGAACAGCTGGGAATGTCCTAAATGCATTGCTGCCGACTCAAAAAGTGAAAAGGTATGGCTGTTTGGCTGTCATTAAATTATTGCTGTGAAAATAAAATACATCCAGCGAAAAGTGAAAGCATCACAATCATTTTAAACTGTGTTAAAGTTTACAGTGTCGTATAGCTTTAAAAGTTTTCAAGCATTCCATTCAAAATTGATTGCTCATTTTAAATAAAATCCACTTACAATAAGACCCAGATGATACAGTAGAAATAGTAATGTTTATGCATCTGATAATTATTTCTGGAGAATATTTTTTCATTCTAATATGAGATAAGAAACTTTATTGTCCATCACAACATGATGGAAATTTAAGACCCATTTGGCATTCAAAATACAAAAACACATTAATAAAATTACGTCAAATAAGTGAAAAATTTGAATTCACTAGATATATAGATATGAAAATTGTTTTAGATTTGACATTAAATTTTTGATTGTCATTCCATTAGGTAAAATATTTGAAAGAATTGCATCAGATATAGGCCTATACATATAAAATTGTAATTATCCAAAAAAAAAAATTATTTGCACTTAAATCTACCTTTAATCATTATCATTATTGTTATTATTATTTTTAACATTATTATTCAATTTTCTTGCTTAAATATGCCATGAAAGTATGCAATTCAAATATGGTATTTTATTGTTCAAGTTTATTTAATAAATCACTATAAGCATACTGCACCTCTCCCCCCCCCCCTTCCATCATTAGTGGGTGATGTGCCAGAATGCATGTTGGCCACATCCAAGCAAATCCTTTGTAATGCTATTCGTACTGTAGGGTATGTATATTTCTTAATGATTTTTGCAAGTTGACTTTCCTTCACAGAGTGAAGACACTCTAAAGAGTGATTCAAGTACGATGAAGAAGGTGAAACAAGCAAAGAAAAGACAGCAGCAGGTAAGTCTAAGCTTTACACAAATATTAAACAGCTATTGAAGGAATCCACACTGAATAAATCCAGTATTTATTTTTTATACCATTTATACAGGTTAACTCTTAAGCACAAAGCTGACTAGTAGAGGCCCTCTGAGTACAATACAATAATACAATACAAATGGCACAAACAAAAAATCAAATTACTAATAAGCAAGGACACCATTAGAGTATTCAGTAAGTAAAGCTAAGGTAGCTAAACTTTGTCATTTTCAAAGTACACATGACATTCAACCTGTAACATACTGCATATGGTACTATATGATCTAGCTAAAGTAGCTAGTAGAGATATTTACCAACAAAAGCTTTCATGTACATATTTATTATTACTTTGTCTCGCATCTTGTTTCAGATTCAGATTTATTGATCAATCATATAAAAAATACATGAAATTGTTTTCCTGAGTTGTAATGCACGCATAAAATTCATTAAAATATAAGTACATAAAATCATCTTGTTCTCTGCATTATAAATTAGCCTTTAGTATGGTATTAACATTTAATTTTCTACTTTGTAGGATGCTAACAGCCCAGTTTCCAACTCAGCTGAAAAGATGAGCAAAAAGGTAAATATTGTTATTTATTTATTTATTTTATTTTACTTATTTATTATTCCAACCAACAACAAACATAAAATTCGCCACTTACAGGAGGAAACACAAAGATCAAACGGATACATAAATATTGTAAACGTGAAGAATGCAAAAACAAAAATATACTAATGATAATATAGTACAAATAATAATAATAATAATAATAATAATAATAATAGTAATAGTAATAACCATTGTTATAATAATTGACAGTAACATTTTAAAATCCTGATTGCTTTTTGGATTGTTTAAAATGATATTTTTAAAATTAGTTAGGCCAAAACTAATGCCAACTTTTTCATCATTTTCAGAGCAAAAGTGAAAGTTCTTCCCCAGTTCTTCGAAGCAAAAGATTGTCTGTTCAGAGGTCTACCACCAAGCCTAGCCAGGTACCTATTCCAAGGACTTGCCTAAGATAGCATGGTTGCTCTTGTCTATGTAATCTTGTTATTCACAATGTGCACTCAGGGATGTCCTTGACCATTAAGAAAATTATAAACCATGAATATGGGATTTGCACTTTGTTACAGTTGCCTTGTATTCTTGTGTTATGTTCAAAAGCATTGTGATGAAAAATTATACATTTGATTGTAAATTTGGCCAAAAAAAAAATGGTTGCCTTTTCCCTGGAGCTCCTGTTTTCCTGTTGAGGAGCTGAAATAACAGAGCATGTTGAAACTAATAACAACAAACCAAATTGCATGATTCATGTAAAGTCAAATATCTTTTGACAATTAAAAAAGTTATGTTTGTTTTTGAGAATATTTTCATAACTCATAGCATGGTTGCTTATGGATTGGTGTACATTGTAATCAATTTAGAAATAGATGATTATGTAAATTATAGTCCTTCTATTTTATTAGTTCATTCATCATGATAGCTTGCTTATATTTTTTTTAATTTGTTATGTAATAGCTACATTTTCTTTTTCAAATTTGTGAAAAATGCAAACACAGTAAAAACAAAATTGTTTTGGTAACTATTTAACCTCAAACACAACCTAGTAGTAGTAGTAGGTTTGTTTTCTCCATTGCAATTTTCATTGTACATGTTAAGCCTCATCAAAAACATGTGACATGCCTAAATATGGTCATGATGACATCACATCATGACCATGTAAGCATATCATGACTGTATATGGGCATTGCTTTATCTCAAGTCTGTAAATCCTCAGTTTCAATAATTTGTCTACCTCTTGTATTATAATTGATATTTAATTTTATTGAGTCTTTTGATTAGAAATGATAATTTAGTTTTTTAAATAATTTTATTGGTGTTTGTAGAGTTTAGTTTATGTTGACAAAGGATTTTGAAATAAAACAGCATGTTGACATCATATCATTGAGTGTAGAATGCATTGTTTTGAATAGTTTGTTGTAATTTTTATTATAAAGTTTTCCTTTAACAACATTACCTTCTGTAAGGGCCACTTTATGCAAGTTAGGGCTAAAAAGATAGAGAACAAAACAACCATAAAAGGTCTTGACAACTACAAAGGTTGCAAAGACCAGCCAAAGGGAGCTCCTACCACCACCATGTCTTAAAATAGCCCACACATATTACCATCTTCATTGTTGTGCAACAACATTCATTCATTTATTTCATTCCACAGACATGAGGCTATCACAACCAATCTCATTTTCAAAAGCCTTAATAGATTCTTCTGAAATAAAGTAACCTAATACATGGCTATATTTATTGCTAATAAAGATATCTAATTTTAATTCAAACTTCTTCTTGTCAGGCAAAAAACTCACCTTCACCGCCTGCTAAAAAAAGGCGAGGCCCACCTGGCAACAATCCAGTCTCACCACTGACTAAGAGACGCACACTTATTACATCACCAAGGGGTCGTAAAAAAGCAGGTGGAATACGGCAAAAGATTCTCTCCAATAATAAGTTATTAAGAAGCAAATGGAATGGAATAATACAGGCTCAGAGAAATGGAAGAGGTGGAGGTTCAGGGGATGCCCATACTGTTGCTAGGCAAGAGAAAGCAAAACCTGTGCAGGTAAAACGGTTTGTGGTGAGGCCAGGCAGAGTGAGCCCTCCACCATTAGTCAACACACAAGGTGACTGCAACAGACATGCTTATGAATGGGGAATTTGGAAGAATGTCTTTGCTTTCTTGAGTGCAAAGGATTTGTGCCGATGTATTTCTGTTTGCAAGACTTGGAACCGTTGGGGTTGTGATGCAGATTTCTGGAAGAATTTGGACCTGAGCAATCTCCACAAGCTTTCTAAATCAACAATGAGTGGAATTATTCGACGACAACCTATTTCACTTAACATGACTCGAACTAACATCAGTCGAAGACAACTGATATGGCTTCTGGAGAGGTTGCCAAACTTAAAAGAATTGCATCTTGGATATACTGCATGGGATGTTGCTTCTGCTCTCTCTGGTCCAAACAGCCCCCTTTTGGAAGTCCTTGATTTGAAGTGGGTAGAGGGGCTCAAAGATAATATCACGAACAACATCTTCCAACCACCTGTTGAGCACCGCCCTGGAATGGTTGATGTCAGATCAAGGATGCGATGTCTTCAGGAATTGTACATTAGTGGTACAGACATCACCGATAACATCTTTGAACTTCTTGTGCAAAATACACCAGCGTTAAAAAAGTTGGATGTTAGTTTTTGTACTCATCTGACTCCCAACGGTATTGATATCTTTCTTGAGGAGGATTCGACAATCAGAAACAACTTAACAGGTAAGAACAAATTCTTAGTACTGCCACACTTTCATTTTCTTTGGTTTGCGACACACAGCCCACGATTGTCTGACAACTTGTTTGATGGCAAGGAAATCAAATCTTGGAATGGCACTTGATGAGGAATCTACAGTATTCTCAATAACAAATCTATTTAATAGAAATGTTGATACTGATATACTTTATAATGCTATCATTTCAGACTTGAATGTGTACAGATGTTACAAGATCACTGGTCAATCATTGTATAAATATCTTCTTCGACTTTCTAATTTGCGTCGACTGACTATCAGCAAAACACAGGACCCTGGCAGAATCTTGAATGAAGCTTCTACCACAATACAACATCTGGACTAAAGGAGACAATATTAGGGAGCTTTTGATTGCATGAGACAGTAGGACACTAAGAAGTGATCTGTGCATGCGAGAACATTATGTTCCTCTCGTTGCCTGTATTATATTTTTAATTTGGCCGAATCTACACTGTATGTTGTACATAGAACGTAGTAAGGAAGGTCGTGCGCGAGTGAATCTGTTTTAGCGCTGTGTCGTCGCACAAATCGAAAGCTACCTAATATCTCATCCTGACTTCCGTGACACGTCATGGCTACTTAATGGTTTCCCAATAATCCATCTTGTAGTTTTAAGTGCATATGCTGTCAACAGTCAAGGTATAGAAACTTTTGACCACCAGGTGGTTTATACACGACTTTGAACGCTACTATGTGTAAGTACAAAATGTATATCTGTCCCAATATTACACTATAAGTTCTCTACAAAGTGCTATTGTATCATGATGGACACGACACTGGAAAATGGTCATGCATAGCTATGTCATGCATAGCTATCATTTAAGCAAAATCCCATGGAAATTTTTAATTGATTGTTTACTAATTCAACTCAAAAGCCTGTCTAGCTTTAAATCATATTGATCATTGTCTTTTTTTTTACCATATGTTAGAGTTAATTTACATTTAGTGTTGTTAGAATAGGTTATATAATTTGTTTATTACACTTATATCGTTCTTATTACACTATTGCTTTGTTATTTACTATTGTCACCTCAATATTATAAACATAATCATTATATTTAAATAAGAGTAACTATTTTATAACTATTTCCATGGCAAAAATGTGTTGTCCTGCATCATAATACAAGTTCTGTAACTCAGAATGCAGTGGAAATGCTTACACATTAGCAATTAAAATACATGTATTTGTAAACAGTTATTCCGAGTAATAGAACAAAAGAAACTAACAGTTGACCAAAAATTACTGAAGATCACATTGTCCTGTAGAAAAGACGTAGGTAGGTAGATGTGTTTTAATGTTATCATTACATGATTTGTAAAATTGTGGTGTTGGAAGGATCTTGTACAGATTTAATCTTCAATTAACACATTTAGGATGGTCTAGAAATGTACATTTGTGAATAATAATTAATTTCAAACATTTTGAGTTAATAACAAAAACATATTTACTTTTTGACAGGTAATTTAATGACATGGCAGTTACTATATTGGATTAAAAAGTTATACTTACTATAATTCGTTTAATTTCTTAAATTGTTTAAAGCATCATTATTTCGACCTAATCAATACATTATTGGTAATGCGTATATTGTGTTGGAAATTGTTTCATTCCAAGATTAAACAGATGAAAAACATGTGTTTTCCATTTACTCTCTATTCAACAGTATGTAGGCTTAATCTGCATGTCACATGATAGAAATAAACTTTGAATTATTGTTCCACATTGGTTTTTATCATCTACATGACCCCATTCTGTAAGGCATAAGACAGCACAAATTTTTGGAATTGAATCCAGGGTTTTGAGCGTACCAAACCTTGACCTTCCTTGCCCAATAAAATCAATTTCACCAGAACACGAAATCGCACAAAATATTGTGCAGAGATGAATAAAATTGGTTAGCCGAAGAATGACTAATAATTGACAGGACAATAGACATACACTTTTACCAGGGCAAGCAATTCGTATGACGTAACTTCATGACATCATCATCAAAGTAACAACCAACGTAAACGAGTCTTCATTTTAGTATAACAGATATTTATTTGTAGGGTTTATATTATATTTCACAATATAATAACCTTAAAAATGGGGTACAGTAACTCAACATAGGCAAGCATAGTACCGATAATAATAATATAATTATCACATTCTCCTGCATTTAATTATATTTACAAGAATTTATAGAATTTTAAAACTAATAACCAATATAAATCAATGTCATCATCTTCCTTATGAGGTAGCATATGAAATGAAATAATAATTACATTAATTCCAAGGAGAAACAAAATGTAAATACCAAGAGGCTCTTGCTACCATCTTACTAGTCTTTTTTAAGACCAATCCAATATTTATGTTTCTAACAGACTGGTCATGCGTTTTTGTGTTCTCATGCGAGACTACAGTGTCTATTTTGCAACTGTATTCACATAATTAGGATGTCCTCCATTATACTTTAAACAAATCAAAGAATCTAATACCTGAATTCTACACATAAATACAATACTGTTTGAATGGAATTTTAAGTAGGATTCATTCTTTTCTAAAATCAATATCAAATAACTGAGGAAAAGGGTAGGGCAGGCACTGCGCAGTCAATATTTATAGGATATAATTGACAATTTTTATTTTCAAAATTTGGGAAACATTTCTACATCCCTGTCACAAAAGGAAGTTTCCATTAATATATATAATATTGCTTATAAGCAGTATTGTACAGTAATTTACATGCTCAAAATGTAGCATTTATATTTTTAAAATGCCTCGCATTCAAACCAATCATGCAACCTATTTCACATAATGTCATCATGGTTTAATTTGTAACATTTTTTTTCATTAACTTTTTGATATTAAACCAAATATACAGACTTTGACCGTCATGGCTAAGGGGTCAATAGACACACTGGGATGTATACATGGGAGCAAGGTACCACAACATGCTTATGTTTCATGTTCTGTGACAGTGATTTTCAATGTCCTTGCAACACCATGAGAATTAACTTTATTTTTATCTATGGTAAGGCTTGAGAAATGCTATTGTACAAATAGTTCCCATGGTTAAGACTATGCAATGTATAAACTAGTTCCATGGTTAGTAAACCTAAACGCTAACAACCAGCAATGACTACCAGAACACGGATACATTCAATACCAAAGTACTATTAACACATATTGATAGAGACAAAACACATAGTTAAGTCAACTACCATGATATGCAACACAAAAAGGATTCCTTTTGGTAAATACAATTAGCAATATTATCAATAATTCATAATTAATATAATTATTGTTTAATAATTAATTGTCATATGTATAGTGAAGTAAAAAAAGCATTGAAAACACTTAGATTACAATAAAATATTTTGCTTTTACAAAAACCTTGGCATTATATATTTTTAATCAAGAGTTTAATAACTGTAGTCCAATTTAAACAAACGAAAATAACTAAAACTGTATAATTACTGTTTTTTAAATTTTGTTAATGTTACTTTTTTCATCTTCTAAAATGCATAACAAATAAAGCAAAATTAAATTGTACATTATGTAGCTGCTTCATTTGGAATAAACCGACTAAAATGAAAATCAAATACGGAAGCTCTCATGTTTTCCATCAATATGACGTAATCGCAAATACAGATCCGTGCCTAATCCCTGCATTGTCTGGAAGGTTAAGGAACCACCAAGGTATGTCGCATAAGCTCGAGATGTTGGCAGGCCAAATCCAAACCTGAAAGGTAACAATATAACATTATTAATCTATATTTCCATTACTTCAGGCTTCTGAGCCAAGAACAGATAAATATTTTATTTTAAATCTTATAGATTCTGGGTGACTTCTGATGCAACCTACTTATGGTCCCTTTAAAAATATTAGTCAATCACCATCGGGTAAATCTTGGCGCCACTATTTCGCTTCACAAATTTCTGCCACTACTCAGTGAAATAGCTGCCAACAAAATGCCTTCCCCAAAGAAGAACCTACTCCACTGAAATTGATTAAAATCAGTTACTGATAGCATTGTCTAGGGTGAGTTGAGTGGACGAACTACAGTAACTACTCTACTACTACTCCTCGCCCAGCATTCCGTTAGTAGGACTGAATCTTCTCTGATAAGGACTTAAAACCATTTCAGTGTACACATCTGGCTTGTGTGCACTTGTTAAAGAACCCATTGAATCTTTCAGTAGAATAGGCAGTTACCCTGATTCAATGGTTCATTTTACCCCCTGTCATTCTGGGTGGAATGATGTAAATCTGGTGCTACTAAGCACCTCTCTGCAACCATAGTCACAAATACACACATACACAATTCAACACAATGACTATGAGTTATAGGTTATTCTACTACCTTTACCTTTAACTTTATCATTGAGTTACTGGTTATTCTTGTATTTAATTATGTATTATTATTGTGGTACCATGTGCCAGTAAAATTAATCAAATGCAGCGATAAGAAGTAATTCTCACCCATGCATTGGTCCTGCTGCTGGACCGAAATTGTCTGCATTCATCACCTCGCCAAAGATACCACCAGTCACCCTCGAGTCTGTATTCTGACCGACAGTTGTGAAGTGATATTGAAACACCCTGTTTACAATTGAATGCGGACATCCACCACCTTTGTCAGAAATTCTACAAAAAAAAAAAATTGGTATCAGACAAAGGTATTGTGGGATTGGTATTAAAGATATACTGTCTGTGTCAAGCTAATAAAGCCATATTTGTCTTAGGCCCTATTAAAAAGACTATCAAATTGTGTGTGACAAAAACATGTGACATGCCTAATATGGTCATGATGACATCACAACAATTTGTTGTCAACAATGAAATGTGATCGTTACTCGTGATAACATTTTAGCTGATTGAGTGTCATACCTGATTATAAAATCTAGATCGTTATTTGTGATAACATTTTAGCTGATTTAGTGTCATACTCGATGATAAAACCTAGATCATTATTTGTGATAACATTTTAGCTGATTCAGTGTCATACCTGATTATAAAATCTAGATTGTTATTCGTGATAACATTTTAGCTGATTCAGTGTCATACCTGATTATAAAATCTAGATCGTTATTCGTGATAACATTTTAGCTTATTCAGTGTCATACCTGATTATAAAATCTAGATCGTTATTCGTGATAACATTTTAGCTTATTCAGTGTCATACCTGATTATAAAATCTAGATCATTATTCGTGATAACATTTTAGCTTATTCAGTGTCATACCTGATTATAAAATCTATCGTTATTCGTGATAACATTTTAGCTGATTTAGTGTCATACCTGATTATAAAATCTAGATCGTTATTCGTGATAACATTTTAGCTTATTCAGTGTCATACCTGATTATAAAATCTAGATCGTTATTCGTGATAACATTTTAGCTTATTCAGTGTCACACCTGATTATAAAATCTAGATCGTTATTCGTGATAACATTTTAGCTTATTCAGTGTCATACCTGATTATAAAATCTAGATCGTTATCCGTGATAACATTTTAGCTTATTCAGTGTCATACCTGATTATAAAATCTAGATCGTTATTCGTGATAACATTTTAGCTTATTCAGTGTAATACCTGATTATAAAATCTAGATCGTTATTCGTGATAACATTTTAGCTGATTCAGTGTCATACCTGATTATAAAATCTAGATCGTTATTCGTGATAACATTTTAGCTTATTCAGTGTCATACCCGATTATAAAATCTAGATCGTTATTCGTGATAACATTTTAGCTTATTCAGTGTCATACCTGATTATAAAATCTAGATCGTTATTCGTGGTAACATTTTAGCTTATTCAGTGTCATACCTGATTATAAAATCTAGATCGTTATTCGTGATAACATTTTAGCTTATTCAGTGTCATACCTGATAATAAAATCTAGATCGTTATTCGTGACAACATTTTAGCTTAATCAGTGTCATACCTGATTATAAGATCTAGATCGTTATTCGTGATAACATTTTAGCTTATTCAGTGTCATACCTGATTATAAAATCTAGATCGTTATTCGTGATAGTGATGTCGATGTCAGGCAGACTGTGAGGAGGAGTATCCAAATGGTTCTCAATTGTTGCCCTGTTTAGGAAAAAAAACACAATATAAATTCACTATAAATTTAATACAATCTGTATTAAGTTGCAGATAAGCATTCTCAATGTATACAGTAGTATGTAGTTTAAGTTGTACCTAATGTATGTGATACGAAATTATAAATTGGTATGACTATATAAGCCAGTAATTGACATAACAGTAAATTGATTGGAATAACAATAATTGTTAATGAAAGAAATTTACATATGATAGTAATGCTAATATGTAAATTGCATAATATTAATTTGCATACAATAGTAGTTTTTACAATCTTAGATGAAAATAATTACATTTTATAGTAATTTGCATATGACAGTACTGTAATTTAACAGTAATTTGTATACATGACAGTAATTCCAAAATGAAAGTACAATATGTCTAACAGTATATTTTGCATGATAGTAATTTGTATATGATGAGAATCAGTAGATGGCTTACCTCATAGCATTCTTTATTAGTTCAGGTAAAATGTAGTCAAGTGGTTGAGGAATGTAGGGAAATGTTGCTGCAATGTGACCTTTGATCCTGACCTTAGGTGCATAACCATACTTGTGATTGGACAAATCCCTAAATAAAAAAATTCAATTATTATATAATTTTTTTTTTTTTTATTTCCTTCACATCCAACAGCAAGTACACGCGCCATTCACAGGATGAGAATGATGCTTTATAAACCAAGTCTCTTTATGAGGCTTAGGGAGTAGAGTTGATGTTAGTGGGGAGAAAAATCCCTGCTGTGACAGGAATTGAACCCAGGACACTGGGCTCAGAAGGCAAGCATCTTAACCACTAAGCTATTCAACTCCACTCCAATTATAATATGTTAGGGAGCTCTCGTCTTGGGCGATGTGAAGCTAGAACTGATTCACTCATGTGTGACCATCCTACATTCTCTATACAATGTAAATTTGGTCAAACTCCGTCCTAGAATCCATGCTACAAGGAGAACTTCGCACATGCGCAGATGACTTCTTAGTGACGTCATTACGTTCCATGTCCTACCGCATCATCGCACCCTAATACTGATATCAATGTACTGTTGTTTCCAGCATATAACAGAAATTGCATCAAGCTGGCCAACAATCTAATACAACTAGTAACACATCTGACTACCAGCAAAAACTTGTGGAATAAATCACATGCAAAGTTAAACCAAAGCGTTTCCTCACAACACTATTTGACACAAAACAATAATTGTGTCTGTAGAAAGGTTGCACACAAACTAACCTAAATTAAATCCAAACAATAAATGAGGTGGGTCAGGCCCAGGATATTGCCAGGCAAGACCTAGCATGGTGTCAGTCTATAAGATGCAATAATAAAATGCATAAAATGCAGTAATGCAAACCAATCTGACCAGCACATCATAATGAGTTTTATGTGTTCATTGCATTACAAGTAACATTGTATCCATAGCCACAATCCCACCTTTTGTGTAAAATCAAAAACTGTGTAAAATTGTCAAACCCATCATTATCCATTATCCTAGGATAATGCGCCTGGGTAAGGCAATTTAATTTAAATGAATTTTTGGCTGCGAATGGGGTTGCAAAATAATTCTACCCTAGCAACATGGGAAGGGGTGTAGTGACGACCCTCGCAGGGTTGATGTAGCCCAACCATTGAGACACTACGACCTTCGGGTCAGCGCATTTGCATATTACCAATACACGTGCAACACCAGGCAGATCCGAGGTTCTGGGGAAGATAGAGCACTTCAAGTCCAGAGCTCGACCATATAACAAGTGACAGTGTTATCACCATTGTGTATAGCTACGCGGGAAACTCATACCGTAAACGGTAAGTACCAAGTATACATAGCTATTTTCACAATATTGGCGCTGCGAGCTAAAGGCTATTAATTGTACAATATCGCCGATTGTGAGTTTGGAGTCACTCACGATCATTTGTACTGATATTGTACTGAAATTTAGAATAGGACAGTTAGGGTTTGTGTAGGGAAGTGCTGTAGATCGCACACTCTTGGCCGGTTTGAGGAAGTCTTACTAGGGGGAGTGTGGACTATCGAGTACCTACACAAGTATTTTGTAGTTTAGGAGTATTAGTTAGGCATAACCTCTTTAGTGTTTAGGAGAGGGTGTGGTATTTAGGTGCAGCCATTGTTAAGATGCACAGTCTTTGTTTTCTTACTTAAGGTGAGGATCGATGGTTGTGTAATACGCATTCCTCATTTGCATATTCTTTCTAACCGACCTGGTTTTTATCCACAGGTGAACATAACTTTGTTTGCATTGTTGCTTGTATGAATGTTGATTCGAAGAGGTGTAGTTGTATTTACTGCGTACTTAAACCTATTTCCCAATAACACTAACCACATTCGTTAATTGAATATTGTTTTTGCTGTTGTTTGAGAGTTATAGTTTTTTATTTTGAATTATTCGCTAAACGCTACAAATTTTTCGACTATTTCATTATTGTTACTTTCAATTGCATGCATGTTTAAGCGTTAACTTTAAAAGTTGATAGTTGTGTTAGTTTGAATATTTTGATCATTGTGCGAATTATTCTACTATTTACTCCATCTTTTAAGTTGTGCTTGTTTGAACTTTGACCTTGAGAGTTGTTTACTATTTGAACTTTTCGATCATTGTGCGAATTGTTCTATAGAGTATCACTACTTTCATTTTTGTTCAAATTTGACCTTTGACCTGTGACCTTTTGACCCACAATGTCGAGAGGTGGTAAAATTAAGATAAACTTTTGTGATGTTACGGATCTTTACGCTATCCCTAATGTTGGTAAAAAACGGGAGGAAAAGATTATACTGTGGAGGTCCCGTTATGGTAACATCTATCCAACGAGTTTGAGTGATATTAAGTAAGAACTATAAGGCGTACTGAAAGGAGGGCTCCACCCAAACGAAGGGGTACGTCATTTAAGTCTAAAGATATCCCAAAGACTTTGACGTTTAAAGGGAAGGAAAACTGGTCCTTTTTTAGACAGCGGTTCCTTAGGTTCGCAGAGGAGCAGGAGCTTTCAGGAAAAGAAAGAATGGACGCACTCTGTTGGTGTGTGGAAGGGAGTGCGGCTAGTTTTATGTCAATCTGATTGAATTGGATAGACACATTTCCTTTAGCAAACTTATGAGCGCCTTTGATAAGCGATATGAGGAGGATGATCTTCCGGAAGTTTTGCAGGCTAAATTAGAAGCCTCTTCAAAGCGGGAGGACGAAACAGTAGATGAGTGGGGAGATAGGGTCCTCACTATGACAAGGAAGGCCTATGGTGCCCTTCCAAAATCTTGGATTAGGCGACAGACAGCCATAAGATTTTGTTTAGGGTGCAGGGACTCTGAGGCGGGGAAGCATGTTCTCCACAAGAACTGTGCAACCTTGGTTGAGGCGTTAAGGGAATACGAGCAGTATGTAAGCCTCAGTGGGTTGTATGTTAAGAGGAGGGGTAGGTCGTCCAAGGAGGTAGTTAAGGCCCATGTTCGATCTGCCGCTGCTTCTCGCCGTTCGCCTTCATCCCCTTCGGATTCTGAAGAGGATGGGGAAGATCATGAAGATTCCTACCGTAGAGTTAGGCAAGTGGGGGGGGGGCCTAATAGGGGGGGGGGGTAGACCTAATAGGGGTGGCTCTTCAAAGGAGAGTGAAATGGAGTTGGTGGGTTCTCCAAAAGAGAGTGAAGTGGAGTTGGTGGGGATTGACTCGCCTAAGACTGAGTCCCCCCGCCCATCAGAGCCATCATCTGCCCCGGCATTGGATCCTCACCCACTGGAGCCATCATCTGCCCCGGCAAAGGAATCAGCTCGTCGGAAACGCTCGAAGAACCCGTGCCGGTATCCAGGGTGTGCTGAGCACAATGTGGTGAACATGCGAATCCACATCCTCGCCCCAGCCTGTTTCAAACCCCAGCTCCGGTGCACAAAGTGCCGGACCAATATCCAACTGAGGGTACTGGAGGGGCTAGCCCAGTACATCGTTGGAGAGGGAGCTTCTCTCCATGACCTGGTAAACAGGTTAAACCGGGAGCGATCCACGGGGGAACCGGGAGAGCATTGGGCCAATGATGTGAGGACACAGGCGGCCATGACCAAGCTGCGGGAAGCGATGGGGCTGACGCGACGGCATGTCTCACCGTCAACCCAATAAGCGATTCCGCAGTCCTGATTCATTGGCGCTGCGTCGCTGCGCTTGGGCAGCGAGTTTAGGAGGGGCGTTCCGGGGGATTGTCGCAGAAGCTGAATCGGCTTTCCCTCTACCCGTGACTCTCCCTCAGAAGAGGAAGGTGCAGCGCGATGTTGGAGCTGATGCTCAGGGGGGCTCGCGAGCTCCCCAACTATTGCATCAGGAGAGAGCGACAGAGCAGCCTGGGCCTGATGCTCAAGGGGAAACCCATCTATCGCGTCGGGTCCCAGAAGCGCGGCCTCGCGTTTTTGATGCCCATCTCCATTTGGACCGGCTACACAGGGCTTTAGGTTTGCATCCAAAGGCGAGCCTAATCGAAGTAGGGAGGGCGGAACTCCTCCAGGAGGGTGTTCAACCCGTGGCTGTGGGGGGTGGGATTGCGGTATATTGCGATCCTGTCACTTACCCCACTTTCCAGGAGATAAGCTCTGTCGTGCGCCAACCCCATTGCGAGGTGGACATCGGGATTCATCCCAAAAAGAAGCTCACGGCAACCCAGTTCGAGCGGCTGCGATTCCTGACTGGGTCAAGAGATGTAAAGGTGCTGGGCGAGATTGGTCTCGATCACACCCAGCCCCCATCGGACTGGCCCAGACAGGATGACCTTCTTAAGCGCGTTCTGGGGGAGTGCTATATGCGCTGACGTCACCTGGTCATATGTTTGCGCCTCCAGGGCATGGTGGAGGATGAGACAGCGGGAGAATGCTTCCTGCGAGGTCTCGACATCCTCCGCCTGCTCAATATCCCGCGCGAACAGCAGCTTATGCTGCACAATTTCGTGTCAACAGCCGGGGTCGTTGATCGATATCTGCGGGTCTTCCCCAATACCTATTTTAGTTTCTCTTTGAGCGTGAGTAGGTTTGGGGAGGCCCAACGAGCTGCCTGCAAGCACCTATTCGAGCACAATGACCGTCGGATGTTGATTTAGTCCGATGGACCATATTTCAAGCTGGCGCGGCAGCGTGTGGGTGCGCCTCATCTTCTCTGGGCAACTGCAGAGGCAGTGGGCCAGGTCATCGGCCAATCTCCTCGGCAAGTCCTAGACTTGACCTGGAAAAACGGCCGGGATCTGTTTTGAGCTGTTGCTCAAAAAATTAGAAAACTTTTCGTTATTAGAAGCCTTTTCATTTCTTTGATTAAGAGAAGCTTTATTTATTTATGAGAAGTTTTCCGTCCTCTGTTTCCTAGCCCAGCCCTCCGTCCCCTAAATCCATGGGTCGGATGGGTACCCTTCCGCGAGACAATGGCTCCCCTTTCAAATAAGGGGGAAATGTAGTGACGACCCTCGCAGGGTTGATGTAGCCCAACCATTGAGGCACAACGACCTTCGGGTCAGCGCATTTGCATATTACCAATACACATGCAACACCCGGCAGACCCAAGGCTCTCGGGAAGATAGAGCACTTCAAGTCCAGAGCTCGACCATATAACAAGTGACAGTGTTATCACCATTGTGTATAGCTACGCGGGAAACTCATACCGTAAACGGTAAGTACCAAGTATACATAGCTATTTTCACAATAGAGGGACAAGGATTATGGTTTGAGCAAACCTCATATATTTTAACTCTCTCCTTCTAATTATTCCACTTTCATCTCACATTGGTACAGTAATTTAATTCTGTAGTAGACAACCTGCATAAATTTTGATGCTTTATTTCACCCTAGACGTGCACAAATTTAAGCTTTGGACCCCTACCCCAATGTGACCCAAGCTCACAAAAGGTCTGTAAACTTGTCCTCAGGCCAAAATGAGTTTTTGTTATAATGGCATTGAAAATATCATTTACTTTAAAATGACAGTTAAATGAACTCAATTGGGTGTCTGGAAGCAAAGTTATGACCGTTTGAATAATTGTCATCTTATCAACTTTCTTAAATCAAGTTTTGAGAAAAATACTTTTATTTTCATTTTTCACTAGCTCCCATCCGAAAATGGCTAAATTTTACCTCTTACACTCATAATTTTAAACTCAAATTTCAGGAATAGTAAGATTAATAGTTATACTTTATTTATTACACAAAAACCCAATTCACACAAAATTCACGTTCTACGCCCCTATTCTGGCTATGGAGGCTTGTTTCTCAATACAGTACGGTGCGAGTTTACAGGCCTTTTGTGAGCTTGGGTCAAATTTGTTGTCTTTTATAATCCTGGCTTCATACTTCACTGGTATGTGGCAACAGGTGAAGTATGAAAGTACTTACGTTGCAAAGTCGGCCCATTTTTCTATAATCTTCTTGAGCGAAAGCTTTGTACAAATGATGCCGATGAAGTGAGGCTGCAAGGAGGAACATGAATTTTAAAAAAATATGCATGATACATATATTGAATGAAATGATTTTATCACAATAAGTATTGAGTTGATTAACCAATCAGCAACACTGCACTGAATTGGGCCATTCTCATTGGTTAGCTACAGTTTAAGCAAGGAAGAAAGTCAACCACCATAATGTTTCTATAATTTAATCTTTTACGAAAGTACAGTATTCCAACATGTTCTTGTCATTATGTGATGAGCTCGCTCGCCAACATTGAATGCATGATGGTCGTTTACAGTGGTCTGTATGCAGCCTTAATATGATGTACTGAAACGGAAGCTTTATAATACTGACTACAGACAATAAGTTCAGGATCTGTAAACTGTTTTAAAGGTCTTGTTTAAGAGAAGCATTTTTTGATCTCTTTACCTTTTCCTGATGTAATGCAAGATGGTGTTCTGCTAAGATGCGTATACCAAGACGAGAGGTCAACATCCGATCTAAAAACTGTCTGATCATATCCTCATCCTTGAAAAGAAAAAAAACACACCTTGGTTCAGGTGTGATGTTTTTGTATATAGGATAGGATGGGTGTCTAGTTGACTGTTTGCAGTACTTGTGTGGCTTAATGTGTATATGGAGTACAATGCTTTCTCAGGCTTTTGCCTTCATTATACGTCTGAATGTTGTCTATATGTTTGTTTTGATGGAAATAAATATGAAAATGTAATATAATATATTATTCTGTCGTGGTTAAGCTCTGTCCACTTCAAAGTAATTTACTTACTTTGATGTGCTTTCTACATTCGTTAAATCCTTGCGCTAATTGCGTAACAACATCTTTGTGATCATCAAGTAAACCTTTCACCAGACTACAATATTCCTCTTCCATCTTGAAGTCCTCAATCTAAAACCAAAACAAAAGATACTAGTTAATACATAAATATTATTTACATTGTGTACCATGAAAAATACATGAAATTCTGCAATACCCCGGTTGAAATTCAGTCAGCTTAGAGTTTTAATTTGAGTCTAAGCGCTGGGCTCCTCGAATAACCATTGCATTGAGATTTAGGTGAGATGTTTGTATCCAATGTATCTACTACATGTTGTAGTTAGTGCGGTGGCCCTCCACTGTGGCTGCTGCTGGTCCCCAAGGGTAAACCCAAATTATAATTTCATGTTTAATGAGGACAAATTAAGTAATAATTTATAATTATTATTATTAACTCCATAAAAAATATTCCATAAATCACAGTGATTTGGAGAATGAAGGTGCTCGAGTGACAATAGAAAAGTGTGAGTTGGTATGAATCATAATCGATTCCATCCAATTGCTGGAACAGTCAGAACAGAGTCACCAATGTACAGGTTAACAGCATGATCCTGCCATTTATACTCGTAGGTGAAGAGAGGCAAACGTAAGTAAAGTGTCTGCCCAAGGAGACAAGCAATGCGACCAGCGTCAGTCTTGAACTCCTCATCTTATTATCAGAAGTACAGCACCTTACACTCCGCGCCACACGCTCTCACAAGTGAGATTAGAAAATTTGTAAGCATGTTTACTGGGAAGGAATATGGGTATGTGAAATAATGGAACAGTCATAAAAACATTCAAATAAATAGGGTAATATGATAACAAAACATTGTATAAAAATATTTAGTATATAATATATCTCATCAATAATATCATTGAATCCTTCAAAAGTAAACTGTATATTTCATCATTTAACTTGGAATCCAAACCTTTAATATTATTGCCCCTGACAGGTTTTGAATTTTGTGAAAAAAGCATTAATGACACAAACTAACTGCAGAGCACCAGTTTGAACCAGTTCTACTACGCGCACCCCAAACACACTGCATCCTGCCTGTTGGCACCTAAGGGGTCATAATATAGTGACCTGCAATTGATATAGTAGTGAACAGGAAGATGATGCACTATAAGAACTGCTTTAAAACACAAGACATTGCACAGACACTAATTAAACTACAAATTTATGGAATGTTTACTGTAGAACAAGGATACAAGTTTAGAATGGGAATCCATGTATTAATTGTATCAGTAGTATATTCAACCGCTGTATTTTATAATTTTGTAAATTACATTTTTAAAATAAACTTCCTGTTTACACCCTTTTAAATCTGTGCGTCCATAACAAATTCAGTTGTGTATTAGATATTGAATGTTACCTGTGGAAATTCTGATAGTAAATGGAAGGAACGAATGTAGAGTTCATGAACACTGAGGATTGTGGGATTGCAGCCGATAATGAAAGGCAGATTGCGGAATTCAGCAATACGATGAGCAACTCTAACAGGGAGTTCCTTATGGAGATACTGAGCGCTCCTCTGTGGAAAGAAAACAAATTGTTAGGATACAAAGGAATAGGATAAATTACAGCTTTGTTTTATATCCATCTGTGTAAGATGTATTGTCCTATGCAAAATACAAACTAAAATACATTAAAATTAACTTGCTCATTTTGAAGTAATCATCACACCATTTTTATTTTTATTACTTATATTATAATTAGGGTACACATTTTTAAGATTCAATAACTGGTATACTCAGTTAATAACCTTTATGATACTGCAAAATGAGCAAGTTAATTTCAAAATGTTTGTTTATGATTTTTTTTGTCATTTTCGGGGGACAATACTGTACATCTTACATGAAAAACAAATATATGTATTCAATTGTGTACTTCATTATCACTGTAGCAGTAGAATAATAATATTACCTAATTATATATTATTGTGTACAGTATATATTGTATAATCTGATTATATATTATTGTAAATTATTGTGTACAGTATATTGTATAACCTGATTATACAGTAATAGAATAATAATAATACCTAATTACTTATTTTTTTAATCGGCCTACAACTGATCTGATTTTTAATTAACTTCATTTTGACCACACAGTTTTCTGTGTGGTCATTCCATGCCATCTTGGATTTTGATATATTTTCTACCGAATTTATTATAGTGGCAAAATAAAAAAATAATGAAATACTGAATATATTAAGGATGCTGATTCACTAGACATTTCAAACAAAAACTGTTCAAAAGTCTCCCATTACCCAATCAAAAAAATCTCATTACATCCCCCTCTTTTACCTTTATTAATACACTCCATGATACAGACTGGTGTTAAAGTGGCCTTATTTATTGTTTTAAAGAGTTAGTAATTTCCAAAATTTACAGCTTTTTACTTTGCAAAAGTAGCCTCGAAAAAAAAAGCCCATCCAAATATCGCAAAAAAAAAAAAAAAAAAAAAAAAAAAAAAAAAAAAACCCCGGTTTTTTTTTAA